AATAAAAGTCAGTGCTGTAGAAAACGATGTGGATAATGTGTTAACTAAAAAGTAAAAGTTCTTATGTTGAGGAGGTATAGTTTAAAGGTAAATACTGTATGTGTCTGTGTGTGTTGCACAACATAGGTGCTGAGGGGCACAAACTTGAAGAGGTATGTGGAATTTCCCCAATTCTTACAACAGGCATCCAGATATCAAACAACACACACACTGTAATTTTTCACTATTCAGGAAGCTACATGCATTTAAAAGAAATACTTTCTCCTTTGGGGTTTTTCTGTTTATACAAGTTGATTTTGTTTGAAAAAGGAAAACAGTATGCTGCCTCCTTCCTCCTTAGCTTTCAAATTATCACTGAGTAAGAATTTTTTTTTAAAAACAAGTCAGTAGCAGATTTGTGATTGGTTCATAATCACTCAGTAGTTAAAGGGCTTGGGCACCTCAGAATCTTTTTTCTTCTGCACAGGAGTTAGCAATCAGAAGGACCAAAGGAGCAATTTTAACTATTAAGACCACCCATCATAAGCCTGTGGAGAGTTATGGGGTTCACAAGGTCTGCACTGCCAATGTGTGCTCTGCACCAGCACACAGACACCGAGCTGGAAAACACGCTGGATCAAATAAGGAAATATTGTGCACCAACATGCTTGCAGTCATCTTTAGCAAACATCAGCCAGTACGTTCTGGATCTCCCATGAGGCAAGCAGGGATTAGTTTTAGAGAGGATGAGCAGCCACAAATTGCAGAGAACCGGTTAGCCGAGTGGGTGGGTGCAGTTTGTGTTCCGAAGGGGGGGTGGGGGGTTGTGTGGCACTGCTCTTGTGGAAAGACTGAGGTAATTAGCTTCTTCTCCCCATTCAGTCCCTGTCTTGAAAAATGGTTTTAACATGCTTTAAACCTCTCCAGACGTCGACGGCCTCTGACATTTCTCGACATGCGCTGACACAAATGCAGCATTTTCCACAGTCCATCATGTCTCAAACTTTCTGCGGGTCGAGCCTCCTTTTAAATCAGTCATCCGATGTTTCCGTGCTCCAGAGACAGCGCCTGATAAATGTTCCCTGGCCTCTGCCACCCTTTTATCTCTGGCTCCATTTGATCATTGTAACCAAGGCCTCTGATGCCGAGAATCACGCAGAAAACGTGAAGTTGAAGCAAACATCAGCACATCCAGCTTTTCGGACCCCTCTGTCAGGCTCATGTCAGACGTTTGGGCACATAGACAGCCTGTCCTTTTTTTTCCTCGTTTAAAACTTTGCTCTAATCCTTCACTCTGTCCGGCATGCCTGAAACGGGGACAATGGCTGTGCCACACACCTCAAATATTCCTTTGAAGCTTTGAGACAAAACTGAGCTTCTGCCTGCAGGGTCCTGTCTCTCTGAAGCTGATCTCACTGCAGATAGTGAGTGATGTTTGCAAACACGTGTATGCTCAAAAACCAGCCTGTATTATTGAAGCTGGCGGCACCAAGAAACAGAGGTGATCATGTGATAAAGATGACAATAAAGTGGCAGAAGCCACCGAGATTCCTCGTATTGTTTATTTTCGGAATGGCAGCCCTCATACTTTGATGAGCGGCTTTTTGGATCTGCGGTGCAGGTTTGCCTTCTCTGCCATCTCACGCACAGTCTGCACAGTTTAAGGGCTGTGGAACAGATCAGATATGTTAGCGTTTCTTACTGTTTCTGTCTCTGCATGCACCCCTCAAACAAAACTATACTATATTATGCTATACTATAATTATACTATTTTCTGGAATTTTTTTAAACAAAATTTTCATGTAAAAGTAGTGGTGTGTTGCCTCTTTTGCTTTATTATATATTAGTTAGATATTTTTTTCTTTTTTTCTTTAGGAAAAATGGATAAACCATTAGGATTATTTCTGTTATGCAGCTTTGTTTCCTATAATTGTGTTGTTTTTTTTAACTTTGGGCCTTCTGTGGACATATGTGCTGTGATTATAGGTGTTTCATTCAACCACACTTCGTATAATCTGTGTTTTGCAGTTTTCTTCTAAGTATAAGCAAAAAGATTCCCATTTTTCACCGACCTCATCTTTTATAAAGCCCCTTTGTCTTGACTCTTCCTGAGTGTGGAGTTTCTGGTGTGCTCTTTTGATGCTTAGTGGAAATCACAGTTCAATGTCTCATGGAAAAGCTTTGTTTACTTCTTCGGTCTTTACAAAGAGGTAGACAGAAGTTTGGCTCGCATCTGTACAGTCCTTCTGCAACATGTGGAGGGCAGCCCCGACATGTATGGATGGAGGCGTCCTACAGGAGGCTAACTCACACACTGCAGATATTAGGCTCTGATGAAAGGAAATTTTCTGTATTTCTGTTACAGTCACGCATTAATGAGCTTCATTCTCGTTTACAAAGTGGTCGCAGCTTCCGCAGTGAATGAGGCCCTTGATAGCAGATGTTTCTTGAGAATAGCACCTTGATGAACTTGGGTATAATGTCATGGCGTGTGGGTGTACAATGAGACACTGCTTTTTCTGTAGCTAAAAACAGAAGCAGGTGGTGTTCCTGTAAACATCTAAATCTAAGCAATAGGCTCATATATGTCCCAATTGAAACAAGATGTCCTGTGCATGAGTCAGTGACACACATGTTTAGTTAAACCTCGAGACGCTGCTTTAGGGACTACGGAAGACTTTGGAGTGGCAGTGGTTAAATGGAATTAAGGATGCCATTTGCTTATGAGCAGGATGAGCCCCAGAGGTCAGTGGAAGAGTGATTCTATCAGAGGATTACCACTTCCTTCATCATGTTTGCTTCCTCTTGCTCATACAGCTGCACTCAGATACCATCCAGAAAGACTGCTCTTGCAGATAGCAAGTACTAATGAGAAAGAGCTGCAAGAATGCTGATCTACTGAGTGAACACAAGTGGAAACGTATGAAAAAGCATAAACAATTAGCTGAAAAACACAATAAGCTACAAAAGAAAGTCATCTGAAAGTTAAAGAACAATAGCTGTAGGATTTGGAGCAGTTGACTCACAAATTTAAGGCAAAAAAACATTTCAAAATAGATTTACATTTTTATTTAAAAAAAGGCATTGGAATTTTTATTTCAAAAGGCATTAATTCTATGTGTGTAAAGGTTTAATTGTAGTACAGTAAAACCTACAGCTACCTACAGTTGATCTGCTTGAATGAATGTACCTTGCCAAAATGTGGCAAAAGTTGAAAAAATATAAAACTGTTAGAGGAAAAAACATTCAAATTGAACAGAAAGTAACTTGGACGTTAAGTTGGTCGACCACAGTAAAGGATTTGGAGCAGAAAAATACAACTTTAAAACTCTGTAAAAAAAAAATTTAATCTGTTTTGAAAAAAAAAACTTTAATGCAAGAAAGAAAATCCAAAACTGAGAAAAATACAGAAAAAAGCCTCTTAAAGAAAAACTAAATCTGACATGGAAGTAAATAAAAGTCTTAAATTGAAAAAAAACCTGTATGGAACTGCTTTTTGAGTGACTTCCTCTTTCTCTCTCTTCATCCCTCTCACATTTTGTTTATCGCTGCCTGTTCTTGAGGATGTCAGCCTCTCTCTTTCTCACTTCCACCGTCCCTACACTGTGGAAAGTTCTGTCTGTGGTCCAGCTGGCGTCGTTAGATGGAGCACATCATATTCCTGATTACTAATCAGACATATGGAAGTTATCAGTAAATTAATGGAAGGCTTGAGGTGAACCCACAGGAAGCGGGAGGGCTGGAACTGACAATAAGAGGGATTAGGCTGACTCAGGCGGTGAACCAAAATAAAATCATAAATAGAGAAATAAAATCAAATGTATTTGAGCATCGCTTTAAACTAAAACATTAACAGTGCCTTTCTCCAAAATCAAGAGCCAAAATACACTTGCATCCGGTGTTTCATTTCAAACAAAGTGAGGACTTTTGATCACACCTTAAAAAATCATCCCAACACACATCAAATGTGCAAAATAGGCCTTGCTTTAAATTCTTGAGCATTTTCCTTATGAATGTTTGTACTTCCTGTCTTAATCCTCTGGCTGACATGGACGCTTTCATCTCCGCCTCTGATCTTGCAGCCTTTGAAACGAGCAGCTCCACACCTGCTCATCCCAGACACTTAAACGGCATGAAAGCCACTGGAGGTGCCCCCCACTTCCTTGCTTTGTTTAAAATTCCTCCACTCATTCGACCAAGAACACACTGATTACTGGGATGTATAGAAAAGGTCGCTGTGGTCGCTGTGTGGAAAAAACACAAGCTTCCCCTGGATCTGCAACATGGACTGAGGGGATTTGAACTTGGGAGCTCATGAGCGACAGCACCACGTACTGGAGATGCTGCCCACCGTTCTGGTTTCATTTTTCGACACACATACACATTATACAGAGCACAACATAAATTAAGAAAAAAATACACCAAGTAAAATGATATATCTCATTTATGGTGTGTTGGCATTGCTACATGTAAACACATCAGCGTAACTGTGCACTGATCAGTTCTTGGTTGTGAAGAACATCATACAGGAATGAAGATCATAGGGTTGTCTTCTCAATGACGTTATCATACCCCTCCACTTTTTTATAATCCAAAAACATGCACTTTCCCCCTTGGTATACTTAATGAATCTCAACACAAACTCTAAAACATACTGTATGTCGACTTCTAGGCACACATAAAAGAATCCACAGCTATGGAAGCTGTCAGTGCAGCACCATCAACTGATGGAATCATGCAATTACACTCCTGACAAGGGGACTGTTTACAGAGGAACGGTCAAAAGTAGGGGTGTTAAGTAACCAATAAAACATGATTTAACTGCTTGCCACAGAGAAAGGCTAAACATTATCTTTACCGCATGGTTTTGTGTCTCAATAGGTTAAAGGTGGTTCAGATCAGTCGTCTCTTCTTGCTGAATGTGTAGCTCCAGTCCCTCAGTGCTCAGGAGACCCATCGGGCTTTATCACAGAACACTTCATCCACTGGGAGCACCTTCAGCAGGAAGAGGCGTTTCTCCTTTAAAGCTCAGTCTTCTTCTCACTTACATTTTCTGTGGACACAGCAGACCAAAGCAGTGGGTCACAAGTGACTGACGTACAGGTCGAATAACCGAAGACCGACTCACCTTTAGGAATAAATGTCAGTGAGCTGCTGAAGATTCAGAAGCGTGACAGCCCTTCTTTTGGACCGTCATATAAGAACTCATGGCCCAGTCCGTTGCCACATTTCCCACAGCAAACCTGAGCATTTTAAATCCATACAAGTCAAATGAAAACACACAGCAGGAGGACCAGAACAGCAGGAGTCTAATTTTAATGGAGGTACCTTTAGGGGCCCCCATGCCTCAGGGTGCTTAGAGACACTGTCCTCGTGGATTGTCTCTGAGAAGGCAGGCCACGGGGATGAGTGCTCGAACTTTGAAGTGCTGGAAAATAACTCATGTCCGCATTCAGAACACACATATATCCCTGTGAATGAGAATAAGACACATGGACTTCTACATTCACGGGGGTTTCACCTTTTCATGCAGCTTCATGCTTCTCTGGCACTCACCAGGCTGGAAGTGACTTTTATAAACTTCTCCTCCAGAAAAAGAGCAATAAGACATTTCATCCATGTCAGATATATCAGATCCTTACTATCAGAACTCAATATTCTTTAAGTTTCTAGTAGCTCCTTCAAAAAGTGTCCCAGCTTAAACTAGAAAATGCCAGCGCCCTCTGGATCAAGTGTCAGCAGCTCTGCTGAATTTGTGTAACACCCTGATCCTCATGTCACTGCTTCCACCTAGTGGCAGTAGCCAATATTGGGTTTCAACCAGTATGATAGTGACAGAAGAACACACACAGAATTAATTAAAAATATCTTTATTTCAGTTTTTACATGTGAATCACTGGTCTTTAAGATATTTTAAACTGCTATAAATCAGATCAGCATGTTTTCATTTCATAAAAAACAATGTAATGCCACTTAATTTGCATCCATTCAGCATGTCAAACATGCAAATCAACATATTTTCAAAGAAATAAAAGGAAACATGACGATTTCCAGATTTATCTACCGGTGTTTCTTTTTACACACTAATTTATAAATATTTACTCAATAATAAACATCCCATAAAATCTGCTTCGTTGAGAAAATCTAAATCAATAAAAAAAACTGGTGAGAGTGTGGTGATTTAAAGAGACTGAATGAGTTGCCGAGTCTGCTGCGATTGCAGATCCAAAAGGTATTGCCGGTATTTCTCTGCCGTCGCTGTTTAATGAGGTCACCCTTCATCAGAGCCCTGGTGCTCCCAGGCTGGGCTTTGTTCCAGAGCTCTTCATTCGCTGCCCACACCTTCAACAGGCCAGAGAAACATCTAACCCTGCCACACTGGCGTCCTACAGCTCACCTTACTGCCCATCAACCTTATCTGTGGATGACAGAAGGAGGTGTAACAGATGAAAATGCATAAATCAGCATCATCCTCATGAGGTCATCGTGTTGTACCTTTAGGGACGAACTTCAGTGAGCTGCTGAATATTCAGAAGCGAGACAGGCCTTTAGCTGGACCGTCATTTACAAACTCATGGCCCAATCCATTTCCACACTTCCCACAACGCACCTGAAATGAGACAGCATTCAGCATCTGGCTCTGAACACAAATCCCTCCCTGGGGTAACTTTGGTTAGCTGGTCCCTCGTTCAAAGTAGCACATCTGTGTATGATTCTGCCTCTTAAAATCAAAAGTTGTGTGCATTGAGCTTCCTGTTCATAAAGGATTGGTCGCACCTTGAATGCCCCGGGTCTCTCCTGATGTTTGGACACACTGTCCTCCAGGATGGTGTCTGTGAAGGCTGGCCAAGGAGAGGAGTGCTCATACTTGGAGCGACTGGAAAACAGCTGGTGGTCACACTTGGAGCACACGTAAATCCCTGTGAGAGCAAGGATGTTAACATCTTAACATTAAAAAAAGAACATTGTTACTTTTTGGCTCCCATTATAATACAATAATCGAAGTTTCGTTTGCTTTTAAAATGACGACATAGCTCTTTATGTGAGGGTAAATCCAGTTTTGTAACACAGCTGTTGTGTAACATCCATTGATTACAAAAGTTAACTAGCAAGTAAACTTTGCTACAGTATTTTTATGTACATGTACATGTTTGTGAGTTTTGATCACTGTAAATATCCATCCGTTCTCACGCTCTAAAAACTACGAGGTCAACAGCGTGCATTTTGGCATCATTTCATGCTTTTAAAGACATTTTATCTTGTCTTAGTTAGCTACAGCAGCTACTTGCTCGTGCCAAACACAGCCCGAAATTGATAAAAATTTAACATGTCATAAAAGTAAACAGAAAAAACATCACATACCTGGTTTGAAATGGTCTTTAAAGACTTCTCCACCGAAGAAAGAGCAGAACGACATGACTTTCGTTGTTTGGTGGATAATCTGCGTCTGTTTATGTCAGACCAGCGCACTTCCGGTTAGGATCTTAGATTTCAGGATAAGAGCCGTGAATGAAAGCGTTTGACGTTTTTACATTTCTACTGTAAGTAAAGTTGTTATTATTAAAAAGTAGCGTTTCCTAAAATCAACCACCTTAGTCATGAATAAACTGTTTTTTTCAAATAAGATTAAAACACCTCACAAACCAAATTGAGTTTAAGTTTTTAATGTGCTTCTCTCTGAGAATCAAACAAACATTGTTCTTCTTTTACTGCTAAAAGCTGTGGAGATCCTCTGGGATCCTCACGTACCATTTTTATATTTTTATATATTTTTTTAATAGTTTAGTTGTGTTTCTTGAAATTGCTGAATTGTTGGTGTTGAGACTTGTTTGATGCTTTTATAGTATCGAAGTTTAATCACTCATATAGATTGAAAAGAGGTTGATTTAGTAGTTTATGACCAAAGGAGCTTTGTGGAGCCTACATATTATGACCTGCAGAGGGCACTGAGTGAACCTACTTTTAGCAGGTATGGAACAGAAGAGACCTCAATGCTGTGCAGAAAAGCTGTCTGTGCCGTTCCATTCAGGCCCAGTCAGTTCAAATTAGACTCTCATTGGTCTGCATCCTCCATCAGTTTGGGTCACATTAAGCAAAACATACCACAAATCTGTAGACACTTCAGCCACCCACTGATTAGGTAGAAAGCCTACAAGGTGATATGGTATGTTTGTACAAAGAATTATTTCAAAATACTACTGAATGTTTGAGGGCCAAAATACATTCAGGAGCTTCCTGTTATTTATGAACCAAAGATCCTTCTGGCCATCAGGTTTAAGCCTGCTTTCTGTTCCCAGAGTCGGAGCTAAACATGAGGAGATGGTGCTCAGTTGTGCTCCTTGGATGTGGAACAAGCTCCCAGAAAGCGTATCAAAATCCACTTTAAAAACGGTTTTGTTTAATGTAACCTTTTGTCAATACAATGGGACTGGGAAGTCACAGACAAAGAAAATACTGGCATTTATTAGACTGATTGTTGTTTCTCAAATGTTCTTACATAATGGTTTAATTCTCTGCACATTGTCTGTGCTGCCTACTTTGCTCTGACACCCACCACTGCAGGGCAGCACCTCTGCAGCTGTTCCTTTTCTAATTTTATCACTGAGTTTTATGTCTCACCTCGTCATATGTTCAGACTTGAAGATGGTCTCATAACACTTTTTATCTTCTCCAGCTCTCCAACTAAGCAGCAGATACATGTCAATCTGAGAAGACTGTCAGAAAAAGACCTGAGCTTTACATTATTAACATACGATGATTTTGCTCTTTTGAGCAGCAAAATATGCAGCTTGGTCCATTTGTATCATTTGAAACGAACCTAATTGGTATTGTCTAAATTGTTTATTGTCTAAACAAATAAAAGTAGATTCATTTTCCAGTAGATTCCTTTCTTTCATCCAGCCTGTTGAATAAAGCCTTATTGCATACATCAAAACATGTTCCAATATATACATATATAATGTGTGTTTGTGTAAAATGTGACTTTTTTTTATGAAAGTTATGTCCATTTTATGTCCATTTTCTATCATCTAAAAAAGTTGATTACTATAAGTTTTACCAATAGGGAAACTTTTTTTATCATGAGAGTATGTTCTGTTGTTAAATGCAGTAGACTCCTTGGTCCGTTTTAGAACTCTTCTTGGAGTGGGGGTTAATTTTCTATCATAATAGTATGCAGCGTTTCTTCAACTTTTTCAATCACTATTGACATTTCAACAGTAGGCTGGATTTTCCAGGTCGTGCAGTTACGTAAGTGTACGTCCAGGACTGCGGTGTCTGGCTGGTAAAGCCAGCCGGTGTTTTGACGCTGTGGGTGCAGAGGGGCAAGGAGGAGGAGTCGCTCCGTCAACTCTTGGCCTCTCACATATAATCTGGATTAACGTGTCCACTCTGCGGCCAGAAAACCAGCGTTGGCATTGTGCTGACCACGGGTCGACGCCTCCCGAAGCAAGGCGGCAGCGATGTCTTACGGTGCTCCGTTTCCCGGCTGGTTATCTAACCACGGACACTATGTTTCAGCGAGTTTGTGAGATTTTTTTTCTTCTCCAAGGCTGACCGATAGTCGTGATGGGAAAGTTGAGAGAATGCAGCGGTCGGCGGATGCGCGCCGGTGTGCAGCAGAAGGAGCTCTGCAGCATTCAGGCTGAGCACTGCAGCCTGCGCTCCAAGCGGCTTTCTGCAGGGAACGATGCGCTCCGAGCCAGCCTCCGCCACTGAAACCGCCACAGCATGTGCTCAAACACCCCAGGCTCAGGTAGGTGCTCTTCCTTAGATAACTTCAGCCAAATCTAACTTATATGGCAGCCTTAAATTAAGTTTAAAAAAATAATAATTATACCCGAACAAGCTCCTTATCCACTGTCAGATGTCTCAGGCATCAGATGCAATCAAAGACAGTGATCATAGACAATAAATAAATAAATAAATAAATCCTACCCCTGGTTTCAGTTTGTTGCCAGGCTGCAGTTTCACCTGAACCAAGAAGGCAAACGGAATATTTTCCCAGACAGAAAGAAACAACGGCGCGTCTCTTTTAATCAGGATAAACAGGTCAAGGGGCGCACAGGGCAGGAAATACATTCGGCCGATTTCCAAACATTGACGTCAAGGATAACAATGGGATTTTCTTCCGTTCTCCTTTTGCTCTTGCTCTCCATTTAATCCATTTAAGGTGATCTACAACTGCATTGATTCAGTAATCAGGTGGCCAGTAGAGTCAGGTTGAGGCTATGTCAGGTCACACACATCTTTGTTCATCAGCTCACCCAAGGTAAACCTTGGCCCAGTCATGGTGACAAGATATACGATTTTGAATGAGTTATTTTGATGATCTAAGAAAGTTTCCTTGGCCTGCAGCATTTCATCAGTCTTATATGGATAGTATTGATTAAACTGTATATGCTTGAACATTTATTTTTGCATGGAGTGTTTGGACTCTTTTCGGACTCCTAAGGTGTAGGTTAGTTGTCATTTGGAAAACATCCTATTGCTGATTAATTGGTTTGTTGACTAGAGATCACAACAACTAGTACTACACACTGTATCCATTTAAGCCAACCAAACAAGCTGTCTCTGTTTACTTGCCTTTCATATATGGTAATTTGAAACTTTCCGTTCTCTGTATAACTATAAACTGGTTACATATAGACCTTTTACAGTGTGCTGAACAAATCAGGAAGGGAAATTTTTCATCTTTTTTTTTCCATTTCACTGACCGATCAGTAATTCAGTTCTCTGATGGATAACACTCTAGATACCCCACATACTGGTGTAAAATATAAACCATAGGCCTGCCTGGAGAGCTGCCAGATGCTTGCCGAGCAGAAGACCTTCCACTCCCTGTCAGCACAAACTGATGCCAAATTAACTAGATATTGATCACAGTCATTTTAGATTTTCTGAAGCACCTTAACCACTGAAAAAGCAGCACTTTTAGTTAATTAGATTTGACAAACAGCCCCCAGTACTGAAATGCATTAATCACACTGCTGATGAACACAGCAGAGAAGTGGAAACTGAGAGTGGGAGGCATACGCATGTTTAGTAATGAGAAGCACACATATAATTTCAAGCAGAAGAAACTGGTAATGGCTGATGGATAAATCACAGTTTAACTTCTGCATTTTTTGTTGCTGGTGTGAGAAAGGGTTTAAGTAAATGGAAGTGAGAAGAACCCTTTAAAGGCTCATCCATTATTTGGTCAAAGTGAATGACAGTGTGACCGAAGCTATACCTAGAACAGCACGGAACATTGACTTAGCTTTCCAAAAGGCTTCTCTAGATTTATTGATGACTGTTAATCCACTCTTAGTCCATACTGCGTAGTTTTGTTGACTTTGTGTATTAGATTTTACAAGCCGGCCTTGATGCCTGTATGTGATTGTTTTGTGTAAACAAGCTGTGAAGGGCTTGCTGAAGAGCCACATGCTCTCAGAGTTCATGTCTAATTGCTGCCACAAAGCACCCCCTTTTTTTCTACTTTTACCAATGACTTTTATGAAGCCACCGTCTAAATAATTTCAAGGGAATTTTAGAACATTAGAACGGTTTCAAAGAGGAAATGTGGTAACTTTCTAATGTATTTCCTTGTTAAACTTTCAGAGTCCAGTATGATGGAGAGTACAGTACCAGAGAAGTTTACATGCAACTACAAGTTCTCTGCTAGCACCGTGCTCCTCCTGTCAGCCTACTGCTGCTTCAATTTTGGCACCAGATTCTCATTTTAGCTCCCACTTTGTTATCATCATGGAGAACAGCAAGCTCATCTTCAGTCTGGACTGCCAGGACGAGGGTCCTTCAGTGGCTTTCACTAAAGATAAACCACAGACTGAGGAATGTGAATCTGACTTCAGATTGGGGAAGAATCTGGACCTGAACCCAAGCTACGGCTTACAGCCTCTCTCCCTGCCTCACTCCCCCTCATCCCCCAGCTCTTTATCTGATCTGTCGGCGTCAACAGCCGGCCCACCCATCACCGGTGGCCTGGTCAAATCTTCCTCCATTGACCTGGAGCCCAGGGAGAGCAGCACCCTCAGAGGCAAACCTCTCCTTAGCCTGGTCAAATCTCTGAGCACAGAAATCTCCCGCCGGGTTGAGCCAGAAGTAAATCTGTCTAAGTCTGACTCCAAGCTCCACATGCATCCCTGGAAGCAGCTCACACACCCAAAGATCCTCGAGTCCAAGCCTGAAGCAAGGGTGCTAAAAGAGAGTGATAATTCGGTATCACCTCTATCCAGTCTCAGCATGTCACCCACTGAGCCTCTTGGCAGCTCACTAATTGCTGAGCTGGAGGACACGAGGAGGAAATTTTCAGAGGCCATGCAGGATCCATTGAGCATGCTGAGTAAGATAATGGGGGATGAGAGTTCTGGAAGTCCTAAGCAGGGCAAGCTTTCTGGTGCATGGGACTCTCCCGCCTCCCAAGGAGGCTGTGGAAGAGATGGGAGCAATGAGGATTCAGATCTGAGGTGCAGAAGGAAAACGGACAGTGAGCACAGAGGTGTGTGTGATACTCCTCTCAGAAGGCTCCGAAAAAATTCATTAGACAAAGTCACCACTTTGCCAGACAGCCAGCCCCACAGCAGGGAGAGGAATCTGGAAATCTGCACTTATGGGGATGTGATTCAGGTGGTGGAACTGCAGAACAGATCTAGGGAAACGCATCAAAGGACTTACCCCCAGTCTGGAGTCACACTATCAGGTTCATCTCTGCCATTTCACTGGCTCTTCCCTGTGGGCCTCTTAGCTTACGGGTTCTTTGTGCTCCCCCTGCCTCCATATGTGACAGGTCTGTCTGTGGGGGTTGCGTGTGGCTTTATTTTGGGCTTGGTGATGGTGTTCATGTTTGCCCCACAGCACGCAGGCGTCAGAAGCAAAAAGACTTGTCTAAGCAAATCCAGTTGCATTAGCATTGATCCACTGGATGGACGGAACACCCATCCAGAAATCCTGGAGGTAAGAACTCTGTGAAAATCGACATATTGAAAAGCAAAGGCCAATATGTGAGCGGTAAGCTGACAGTTCCATGTGCACAGAGGAAGAGACCAGCCAGACACAAACCCAGTTAATGTGCCGGGACTACCCGTTCACTATATTAGAGGAGTGCTTTTTTCTGCAGTAATCTGAGCACTCCCCAACACGTTCCTTTGATAAAATGTTTGATCTGATATCCACATTTATAAAATATGAACCACAGAAAGGGGTTGTGTCACTCAGACCCAAACCATTTCCATAGTGTTCTCTTACCATTTGTCTATGATCCAAATATTTTCAAACTCCCTTCAAAGCTTCCAGATGTTTGCATTGATAGTAAAGCTGTGCATAACCTCTCATGGCCATTAGTACGGTTACATACTCCCCAAACATCACCGTAGTTGTTTTCCTAATGATGATTTGGCTACATGGAAATTACCATCTATTTCCTCTTTTCGCTCTGGATGATGACAGATCAAAATAAACAACGGCAGCCATGTAAGGCACTGAATTGTTTAGAGCAAAGAGAGTACTATCAGTGGATCTCAACAGAGTAGTTTTTATGAAACTGCCAAATGAAAGCATGCAGTCCTCAGGCACAGCATGTTCAGCAGTGCAGACAGGGCCATATTGATCATAGCTTTTTCAAAGCAGACCCTGACTTTCCACTGAGAGATTGTGCCTGGCACATTAAATGCAGTCTTATCAGGATGAATAAATGAAAGTTTACAACAATGGAGGAGTTGCTGACAGTGCTCTAGCTCATGTTTCCACTCCTGCTAAGCTGTATTGTCATGGGTTTTTTTTATCACCTCCACACAGCCTCATTATTGCAACCTTTGTAGTTATATTCAAAATAGAAAAAATATAACCTCCTTTTTGTGTTACCTTTTTTAAACAGGGCTGGATGAATGAGACATACAGCTACGACCCTGAGACTTTCCACCCTTCCATCACACACTCTGTCTTTGTGACCCTGGATGGCAGCCGTCTGCGCCTGGCTTACCCACGTGCCAACATCCCCCGGTGGGCATCGTGTGATGAGCCACTCCATGGGGCCGTGTTTTTGCAGTCCCACACGTACCAGTTGGCCAACAGTAAGGTCAGTGGGTTGCCAACAAAACTAATTTGTTAGTTCCAGGGGAGCAAATGTGTTTCCCATAGGGGACTGAAAGAGAAAGCCTAGGTGACCTTGTACCTGGGCTCCTCTCTCATCTCTCTGCACCCACTTTGTTATCTAACACGGAGGTGAAAGAGCTGAAGGAGTGAGTGATGATGCGCGGAATAAACTTGACCCCTTTATTATCCTATTCATGCACCGAGTGACTCTCAGTATGATTAGTGAATGAAGAAAAATAGCATTTAAGACCATGTTTACTTCTAGAATCTCGTTTTGACTTCCTTGAATGAAAAATACTTCAAACAAAAATGAAAATGAATCATTCTTTAATTCCCCAGGTGTGTCTTGTGCCGCCGGGTCTGGCTCGTAAGAGGGTGTGGAACAAGAAGTACCCCATCTGCATCACTTTGGCTGAGGGGGAGGTGGGAGAAGAAATCCTGCTTGATGGGCAGGGAGAGGAAGAGATTTCAGAGAGGCACTTGGTCCAGAGCCACCAGTCTCCAGTAACCCTTTTCCTGTATGGCCGGACTGGAAGAGAGAAGGAGGAGTGGTTCCAGTACTTTATGTCAGCCTCCAGACTCGAAGTCCAGAGCAGTCTGAGTGCTGAGGATAGCTTTGGTAAGATGTGCTGATTTGTATTCATTTGGAAATATCCAAAAAGGTGAAACAAACTGTCTTCCATTTAACCTGCATGCAGGGAAAAGCAGTTATTAGATTAGTACTATCCCCACCCCCCACTCACAGACTTCACATCTATGATTTCTTTCACTCAGAAACATTGAGTGGTGGAGAGGCTGTCAAGGAAAACACAGAGGAGATTCCCGACTTGCCAATTAAAACAAGAACTCTCCTGGACTACAGCATCTACATGATTCAGCTAATTGGTGCAGACAGATGCACTTCCAACTCTAGCCCCTGCCACAGTGACAAGGGAAGCCCTTCAACTTGCAAGACGGTATGTTTTTTTTATCATCTCTGAAAAGAGCTCCCTATACGCATGTGGGATGACATGGCAGCATTATTTCTGCTCATTTCACACTCATTATAAACACAACTTTTTCTGATGAAAGCAAATAAATATCATCACTGTTCCATTATTTTTGCTTCATGTCAAGGGGGTTGACCAAATGCCAGAGTTCAGAAAGATCAGACCTCATATGGCTGAAAGGATAATAATATTCAATGGCTGGTGCATCTGCAGCATACAATACTGGCTTTGGTGTTTTGGGATCAGAAACAGTCAGTGTAGAGGCCTTGAGGAGGAAGTGCAGACACAGCATGTCATATAATCTGCTTGTGTAAACGTATATGACTGTGAATGACAAATACATTCCCAACATTCCCGGCAGATTCATGGTGAGGAGCGTACTTCTGGAGGTGAAACCGGAGGTGACCTCAGCGCAGCAGCTGAGTCAGGAGGATGCTCTGAAGAGGGACAGCCCGCATGGGTGAACTCCCTAGTAGGCAGAATTTTCTGGGACTTTCTCAGAGAGAAATACTGGTCTGATCTGGTAGCTCACAAGATTCAGAAGAAACTCAGCAAGATCAAGGTAGGAGTGGCTGAAATGGATTTGGTGTTTTTTGAGACGGATAACCAGTCAAAAGAAGCTTCACTTCTAAGAAACATGAGATATTGATGGTTGGCACTTGGCAATATCAATAAGAGTGTCAGGCGTGTTGCAGTAACTAATGACATGGCTGCTTGATGGTTCAGTGGCTCAGAAAAAAGTAGGATGTCTGGACATATGGTTTCTCTGAATGTAACAACATTAACATCAGCACTGGTCGGCAAAAGACCAACAACGTGGCATCTGCCACATTAGGACTGCAGCTTTTCTGTGTGCGTGTGTGTGTGTGAGAGACTCATTTTATGAGGCTGTCCCTGTGGTTTCAGAGGCACAGCATGGTAAATGAGCTCTGACATCCCATTACTCTTTTCCTGTCCTTGTAGTTCGACACTTCCCTCCCCCTGATGCAAATGCTGCAGATACACTTGTTTGCTCATTTGAATAAAGTAATAAGCGGCCCTACGGCTCTCCTTTTGACTACGTGCCGTGTTGACAAATGCAATATGGCGACTGTCTTACAGTTGCCGTACTTTATGAACGAGCTGACACTGGCCGATCTGGACATGGGTACCTGCCTTCCTCAGGTCCTTAGCACATCAAAACCAACGCTGGATAATAGAGGTACAGCATAACCATTTTCATTATCTATACTTTTTGCAATGGAAATATGTATTGGAATTCCCACAAATATTTTGCTCGGTGGTGTCCCCCATGATTTTAATCTCGATGGGTCCCCGCAGTGACAGCAGGCTTTGACCTAATTTGCTGCATAACAGAGCTCGTCTTGTCCTCCTTTGTGGCCCTCAATTGTGTCTCTTTCTGAACCGATTAGCAATTTTCTAAATCTGGCTTAAACCTTAATAACACTCCAAAGTCTACCTTGACAGACCTCTGCGACAACAGTGTGCAGATCAAGACTCCTAACCGAAGTCAGGATTAAGCTCACAACTCATTAAGAAATAAGCTGAGCTCCCTCTCTCTCCTTTATCTCCAAGGCCTTTGGCTGGAGGTGGAGCTGGTGTACACAGGCTGCCTACAGATGACACTGGAGACCAAAATGAACCTATGTAAGCTGGGTAAAGATGGGGAGGATGAATCTCACAGCATTCCTGAGACCCACCAAATTGGGTGAGGCCCATTTCACATTTAAGTTCCTCAGCAGGGAGGCAGAAGCCTGTTGCAAACATGCTGGTGTTTAAAAAGAAACCAATGTGAGGTCACGTGTGCAAACATTTGTTTTTCCAGCTCTAAGCCACGGCTGTGTATATTGGCTGATAGTGATGAAGAGTCATCCAGTGCGGGTTCCTCTGATGAAGAAGAAGTCCCCCTATCTGAACCACAGGGGCCTCTGGGAGATAAAAGCTCTGTAATGGGAGCTGAGGGGTAATTAAACAACTTCTTATGTACATATATTCAGTAAAGATTTATGTTGCAAAGGGGTGAAAACACGCTGAAAACCGATAACAGCAGGTTTGAAAAAGGTTTGATTTTGTCTGTATCCTTTCCAGGCATGGTGGCAGCACAGGGAGGAAAATCCTCCGATTTGTTGACAAGATAGCAAAATCCAAGTATTTCCAGAAGGCCACAGAAAATGAATACATCAAGAAGAAGATAGCTGAAGTTTCCAACATGCCTCTGATGCTCAGTGTCGAGGTCCTGGAGCTCTCTGGGACACTGGCCATAAACATTCCTCCTCCCCCCACCGACAGAATATGGTAGTCACATTTCTTGTCAACTGGCATTTATTTCAAGCTATCTCTTCCGACAATTTTCCAAAGAAGATGCGCTGGTGTATTATTTTGCTTCCAGTGATCTTCCTCATTAACGCTCATTCTGTTTTAGGTACAGTTTCAAAGTGCTGCCCAGGTTAGACCTCCATGTGCGTCCCATGCTCGGAGAAAGGGAGGTCACTTTCACTCACGTGACGGAGTGGATTGAGAAAAAACTGCAGTGTGAGTTCCAGGTCAGTACATTAGTACATCTGTTTGTACACATAACTCACACGTGATGCTGTATTCGGTGTTAAACTGCAAACGGTTTGCTGTGCTCTGTCTCTACAGAAAGTGTTTGTAATGCCAAACATGGATGATATTTATTTGCCCCTAATGACTTCTGGCCTGGACAACCCACCCACGTCCCACCAGCCATCAGTACATTCCTCATCCCAGCAGTCCTCCATGGAGTCTCAGGACTACCTGTCAGAATAATGCCCTCCTGAGCACACATATGAGAATACAAAAGCAGCTGTTGTGCTACACTTCTGCAGCTTCAGTGTGTTTGTAACCACTGCTGGACAGATGCCTCCTGTGGCCAGACTCATCTCAGAACTGCAGAAACAGTACTACAGTTCCCTCACTGTGAAGCTCTTTACCGATGATGGGACTCAGAAAGTGCTGACACAGCTACAAGACTGAAAACACACTTTGCTAGCAGCGCAAAAATGTTTAAGACTTTATTTCAACAACAAGCATCCATCCATCCTATTTATAATTTCTGTTCTTTTGAGCAAGTTTGACTTAATCAGACACGGCAAATATGATCATCATAATCTGGAAAGAGGGCAAGCTCTGTTCAGTCGAGAAAGTACTGTGCATGATGAGTCATGGATTTATCTGTGAGGAATATAACTAAATATATGTTGCTTGCCTCTGAGCACAGTTAATACCCCAAAGAATGGTTAATATAATAAAAAAGTGCTCTTTTCCAGTTAGTTTTATTATTTTGTAAAAGTTTAGTTATTTCCTTCATGCTTCTTCTGGCAGAGGTTCTGGCATTGCTTTCAGAGCATCTTTCTTCTGAGGCCCCTGCAGAAAAACCACAAGCCTTCAGTTAGGAGATGCAGACTGGTTAAATACAAACATAGAAGCCGGTTGTCCTTTGAAATGTGTTGGTCATTCAACTCCAACATTCCTGTTGGTATGTCCTGTTTATCACACTTACCATAAATGCCCTCTTCTCCTGGGCAGTCTGGAAGCGCCCGTGACCAAATTGTGAAGTGGTATCGATGAACTTGAGCTCAACGGCCTCCTTGGCCTTGCGTGATGTATGTATGATCAAAGACTGTGGGAATGAACATACACTTACATTACCAGCAACAATGGATTTAACTGTGAACAGTTCATGGGACTGTTGTCAATTTTTAAAAGGGTACAACATCAAAAGCCTAACATACCTTTCTGAGGGTAAGGATGCGTTTCTTAGTCCCGACAACGCAGCCTTTCACCATGATAAAATCATTATTCACTTCACCGTAGTGGGGAAATCCTCCCTACAGATAAAAAGTACCAAGAAAGATAAGTAAATGAGCACTGTTGCAGATTCAGCTTGTTTTGATACTCTAGCATATCGAACATTTGCACTTGACATCTATATGATTACAGAAAAAAATTAAAGTATGAGAAAACATACATGACACCTGTGTTGCATCTTGTCACAGGCTCATTTTCATTATTGAATTTACACAACACGCTAGATCAAAACTACTTTTTCATTCAAATGATTTTGCTTCATAAAGCTGAGAGATACCATGGGGGTGATGGTTTTCTGGCTGACATCATAGTTTGTGGAAGCATTGTTTCGGATCACTTTTCCGTCCTGGATGTGAACACCGCTTCCAATGCGATAGATCTAAAGACAGTTTGGCCATGAGAACCTCAGCCATGGATTTATAGTAAAATGGAGGAAAAAAATCACAGCCCATGAAATAATGATTAATTCACGGCTGATTTGGTGCGATTTTTAGAAGTTTAATCATATGTGTTAAAACCACTTGACCTTCTTATTGATCTCGGTGCGATGGTGATAACCTTTCTGACCAGCGCGAGCTTCGGTGTAGCTCACTCGGGCAGGATGCCAGGCTCCAATGCAAGCCACTTTCCTCAACCCCTTGTGTGTCTTCCTGGGAAGCTTCTTTGTGTGCCAACGACTTGTCACACCTCAGAGTCCAGAAAGCAAAAGAAACATGGCCTAGCTTTTTCTGTTATGTCATGATGCTGTGACAACTGGCATGTTGGTGCATGTTTCCTACCTTTAAATCCACGACCCTTGGTGACACCAATGACATCAATTGTCTCATCCTGGGAAAAGACAGCAGATACGGGTACAGCCTTCTCCAAATGCTCCTTTGCCCAATCCACTTTTTCTGAGATGCTGCCACCATTTAGCTGCACTTCCATGATGTGAGCCTTTTTCTGACGGAAGGGCAACAGTCTCATCTGGAAACCGACAGAAGGGATCAGTAAAACTAGAAATGAAGAGAGTTTTAATGTAATGAATTCCTCAGCAAAAGATGTTTTGCTTTGCACCCACTTTAATAAGGATAAATTCTCAGGATTGGATCATGATCAAAGAGACTAAAGTCATGTTCAAAATAAGGTTTAAATCTTATCTCCAGCACAACCTAGACTCCCCAGCACAGGAAAAAACTGATCTCTGCAGATCTTGGCTGTGCTTCACATGGTCTGGGACAGCAGCCAGGTTCTGCCCACAAAAATATTTATAAATGTTATTTGAAACTGCCCTTTGGTGCTCCCCTCCTATAGCTAGCTACAGTGGTCAGAGCTACTGGCAGCCAACATGTTAAGGATTTGGAGGCTTTTCGTTCTCCTGAATGTCATCAGGTGGATTTCACCTCAGCTCTTTTGCAGGCAAATAAACACGAGTAGGAGAAGCAAAGTGGGGCTTTTGTTCATAACACATGTGACTGATGCATTACAAGACCCAAAGATTTGGATCTTGCCTACCTGAGAGTGAACAATAACCCTGATGAGCGAACAGTACTTTTTCATCATGTTAAAATCCTTCTCCAGCTGTTGCTTTCCTGTCCCATCCTGCCACTTCTTACTGTACTTGGTGAAGGCCTTCTTCTTGCTCTTGTACCTGCAAAAAAAAAAAAAATACAGCGAAGCTATAAGAAACAACTATATAATCTAATTAAGCGCTTCAAGTCTTAAAAAGCATAACATGTGACAGAGCAAAAAATGATCACACACGCACCAATTTTTGTAAAATCTGCGCTTGCACTCATCGCTGACATGCTCAGCAAAGATGGTTTTCAGAGTGCGCAAGCCACGGATAGTCTTAATGTATCCAACAATCCCCACGATGATGACAGGTGGAGTCTCGATGATGGTAACAGCTTCAACTTCCTCTCGCTTTGATATCTCTGTGAAACAGACACAGCATACAGGTCTCAACTAAGAGGACTAAGCCATTAGATTCAAGATACCAGATAAAAAGATACCATTAGCAATATTTTATTGATCTCATTGGGATATGATGTGCTATTTGAAACAGACAATCAAATATCAACTTAAATTAATAAATAATCATCATTTTCCCTTTACTGCAGAAATATGAAGTAAAACTCCAAATGTAGCTTCATCAATGTATTTCTGCAGCCCTGATCCGAGTGTACGTACTGAGGGCAGAACGGTTCACCTCCCTCAGGGTGTGAGTCATGCCAGCTTTGTATCCCATGAAGGCAGTCAGGTGGACAGGGTAGCTGGGATTGTCTTTAGGCCATGTTCGCACCTTCCCCCTATGCCTCTTGCTTCGTTTGCAAGGTAAGAATCCCATGTGCCCATGCCGTGGGGCATGAAATTTACGATGAGACTGCAAAAGACAAAACCCACGGATTTAGTTGGATCTAATGAGTTCTAATGAGTTGAACATGTTTTCATATGCAAGTTTTGGCAAAGGTGAGAAATTTGAGCAACCGTTTTATCGAATTAAAGTATATTCTTTCCATTCACAAGTTACTCGAATAACAAGGGTGTTAAGTTGAGATAAATTCAAACATAAGACTACTCAACTCTAAGGAATTCCACTGACCAAACAGATATCATACAAACATGAACGTGCAGCCATGAAGAAAACAAAAGCACAAAAAAGGGCACAAGATTATTTTCTTTAAATCTGAAAATAGCCATAACCATGAGCAGCACTGACCATATCCACACGGCTGTTGAAGGAGGAAAAGAGAGAGGAATCAGTGGTGCTGCAAGAGTCATAAGATGATACACATAGTAGGAGCTCTAATTTAGTGTTTGGCCCGGTCAAAGAAACGTATTCACTTTCAAACAAGTCCAACTCTGCCAAATAATGACAGGATAAGATGGGAAGAGGGTAAAGTCAAAGGTGGGGAAGTTCAGCAGACAGGAAGCATGCAACCAAAGAAACAAAATAATATGTTTCATTGTAATTTATATTCACCTGTATGCAAAATATGTTTAATCATGACCAAGTGTTTCCTCTGATTTGAAAAAAAGATTTGATGTTTTTTTTTAACATCACTCTCAATCTTGTGCTCTCTGGGCTGACTTTCTGCCAGAGTTGATTTCAAAATTCTCCTCTTGTTTTATATTCTTTATCCACAGTAATGTGCAGTGGTTTTAGGCAGGTGTAAACATTTTTAACCCATCAAAATCCCTGACTTATGCTGAACAGGATACTGTCTTGAAGCAAAAGTGTGGTCACCCCAAACATAGGTTTTATCTAGATTTGTCTTCTGTTACCATTAACCCCCCATTTATAAAGCATTCTTAGTTTACTGCATTTTTCATACGTCCATTAAACTTCTGCTCTGTATGCCTTTTTTTATATAGCTTTAAATTGTTTCGAGCCAATGTACATCTTAGCTCTTCTGGTGAGAGGTCATTCAGAACATGTCTGTTCTCCGAGATAAAAACTAAACACAGAGAAGTTGCAGTCAGTTTTTGTCGTAGTGATAAACAACCTCATCCACTCCTGTGGGAAATCAAGAGTTTCCAATTTATGTATGTACCTATCATAAATGGTTCTGGACTATGGGTGGACATTTGTGATGTTCCCTCTATGGTACCACCTACAGCTTTTCCGTGGTACAACAGTTCAACCTATGACCTTTACCCTTCGAACCTCAAGAATAAAAACAGAAAATGTTCAGTGTTAGATCTACTTTAAAGGTTCTTAATTTAATTTTTCGGGTAATTATTTAATTTGTATTAACAAAAGTGCATCTAAATGACATTTGAATACGTTTACTAGTTGACCTTTAATTCGCCATAATGCTGAGTCGTGTACGCATGCGCTACCTCGAGAGGAGATCTGTCGAGGTCGAATTGTGGGATTTCTGTGATCTTTCTCAAAACTAGGCAAAATGCCTGCAGACTATGATAAAGAAGCGTATCCAGAACCTCCACGGCAGACTCCTGTTGTGGATAAACAAACAGCACTGCCAAACCCAGCTCTGATTTTGTCTAAAGTCTTCTATTATGCCGTGGACCTGCCTGTCACCACATTCAGAGGTAACGGGAGCTAACTAGCCTAACCGTCTAGCTGAAAACCACAGAAGCTAAGGCTACTGCATGGAAAAACTATATCTTATTTAATGCGATGTGCTGTTGCTTTGGTTGACGATAGTATCTATATAACTGTAAAGTTTATGTCCCCGTAGTTATCATGAAAAGATTTGTAACGTAGCACTGTTGTCATGCTAGTTAGCATGTTTCACAGACAACTAATCACTGCGTTATCTCTCTAATGCAGATGCCGTTGACAGCATTCGCTCCAAAAACAAGCTGGTTTATTACCACCAGAAGTTCCGTCGTGTTCCTGACCTGACTGAGTGCCAGGAGGGAGACTATACCTGCTACTATGAGGCAGAGATGCAGTGGAGGAGAGACTAGTGGGTATCATACACTTCCATGAAGCCCCTTCGTTTTCCAGCTAAAGTGATGGCAACTATCATCACTTTAGAACTCTGTTTATGACCACTGGTCACTTTGAGGTAAATTATCCTGCTCTAAGTTGGCCAAAGAAATATTTTTTCAAAAACCTGATAACTTGACTCACAACTAACACTAGATGTGGAGCATTCCAGTCACTTTAACCTGAGCATTGGGCTCTCATCTGGACGTGAGAAAATTGACAGATGTGATGACAAAGAGCAGGCCTTTGCATAAAAATACAAAAATTCTCACAGAAATCAAATGGATCACAATGCCTTTCCTCCACAGTAAGGTGGATCAGGAGATTGTGAAGGTGATCCAGGAGCGTATGAGGGCCTGCCAGCAGAGAGAAGGCGCCAGCTACCAGCAGAACTGTGCCAAGGAGATACAGCAGTTCAACGAGGTGACCAAGAGTTTCCAGTCGCGCTGTAAGTACCCAGCTGTTTGGCCCCAAGATGCACATTCACAATAGGACTAGAAGTTATTTGTGATCAGTTTTACATTGATACCCCAGACATTGATTACTGTTAAGTCCACTGTCATAAAATGATCTGGATTTTTTTTATTATTTAGGATAAACTGTCAGACACTGAACATTTTTTTTTTTGCTTGTTCACTTTAAAAAGGCATGTTGCTGAAAGACACCATGCTAAAACTCAAGGCACAGTTCTGGGAATGTGGTTTTTATGCTTTTTTTAAAAGGAAGCAAATTAATAGCATTGAAGCATCTTGTTAGGCTTGTAAATCAATGTAAAATCATTTTAAACCAGTATCCAGGTTCTGAGGTTTTACTGGACTATTGCTGAATGTCTTTTCAGATGGTGACCTGGGAGCATATGCTAGCGGAAGGAAATGTTTAATGAAGCAAAAGGAACGGATGATGGCAGCTCAGGCACAAAGTGCCTGAGAACGTTTCTTTTTGTCCCATATAATTGTAAAATAAAGTATGACTATTCACGGTTTTTTGACCCCATTTTTTTTATTCTACAACTACCAGTGTCCAATGTATGTATAACTGCATAAATTTGCTCAAGCTGATAAGATCAGCTTGATAAATAGCCAGTTTGAACCATTAACAGGCAAATAGTCACTCAATTTTGCATATAGACCGCAAAATTACTTTCAAGTTAAAGTTCCACGGTATACATTTCAAGTTAGTAATTTTTTGTACTTGATACCAATATTTAGGGATATGCATCCATAATCTATATCCCATAATTGTAAAGATGACACATCAAGAGTCGTTTCAGAATGTTTATTCAACGACCTATAAAAAATGTTTAGGAGGTAGTGGCCTGCACAGCCTGGCCCCTCTGCACGGACACCCTGGTGTGAGTCTTGGCCAGATGGTCAGTGAACTCCTAGGGAAAAAAAGCATAAAATATGGTTTAAAAAAAATAAATCTGAAAAACACATGCAAGAACTGGCAGTCTAACTTAGTCGTGTACTGACCTGGTACGGGGACTTTGTGAAGACGGTCTCCTTCCAGAGGTCAGGGGTCAAGTAGCTGTAAGTCTTTGAGATGGCATCAAATGTGGCCTTAGCTGAGGAGTGAACAAGATGAGTTAATGGAGGAGAAGGGGGGGACAATTCCAGCATTACTATGATGGACATGTTGGGTACTGAAATGGGGAACAGAAAGACCACTGAGAAGTCTTTCTGCCGCGCAATACTCGTTTCTTTCTCTCCTGATAACGACAACCACACCACTGCAGAGGTGAGGCTGAGCAGAGCGAGGAGAAAAGCAGCAGACACAACAAGCCTGGGGAGGAATCTTACCAAAGTTGCCGAGGGTGGCGGTGCAGCCCCTAGCAGAGGTGTAGCAGTCATCGATACCCGCCATCATGAGCAGCTTCTTGGGCACAGGGGCAGACACGATGCCGGTACCGCGGGGGGCTGGGATCAGACGCACCAGGACAGAGCCGCAGCGGCCGGTCACCTTGCAGGGAACGGTATGGGGCTTGCCAATCTTGTTACCCCAGTAACCTCTCCTGACAGGTACAATGGATAGCTTGGCCAGGATGATGGCCCCACGGATGGCAGTGGCCACTTCCTTGGAGCACTTCACCCCCAGACCCACGTGGCCATTGTAGTCACCAATGGCAACAAAGGCCTGTTAACACAGGAAGATGCAGAGCATATCAGACACAGCCACCAGGTTCACAACAAACTATTAGAAGACTCTGAGAGTCGATGCGCACCTTGAACCTTGTACGCTGGCCAGCTCTGGTCTGTTTCTGGACAGGCATGATCTTCAACACCTCATCTTTCAGACCAGACCCCAGGAAGAAGTCAATGATCTCAGACTCCTACAAGGGAAAATGTTTTTGCATTAAACCGTTCAATTGTGCCAGATTCACATCGTTTAAGGCTTCAATTCTATTACTAAAACTCTCGCAGGCATGCAGCTGCCGAGTGTGTCAAAGAAATACACAAATGTGCTGAATTTCACATCCACCATAAAGACACGTGAGATTCTGGATAACTGTGAAACTAAATGTACTAACACATGTTATGACAATAACAGTTTTGTATCCTCCCACTAAATTAAACAAAGTCACAGATATATACATTATAAACAAAGAAAATTACGAATCAATAAATAAATGGAGTAGTTTCTCTTCCTTATATGTTTGGTACAATATAAACGAAACAGACTTTCCCATAGTGGCTCTATAAAGTCACAGTTTAAAACTATGTAAATGGTCGTAAATTTCATTTGTAGGAATAAAGATCGGAGCAACTTGACACAGTATATACAGATTATGGCAAGACACCAGCATGAAGCACATTATTTCCTGCCCTAACATGACATGCTTGATTCATTTAGTTGTAAGACTACTGGTGCTCGTTACCATCTAGCTACTAACCTTGATAGGCAGGGAGTACAGGTAGATCTCCTCCAGGGACTTTATCTTCATGTCCTTAACCAGGCGACCCAGTTTGGTGACCGGCACCCACTAACAGAAGAAATAACAATTATTAACCCAGATAAATAACGAAGAAATCAAAAGTATAATTAAAACCTTACCTCCTTGTCTTCGGCCTTGCCGCCACGGGCTCCGCGGCCCCTGCCACGGCCTCTCCCGCGTCCACGGCCCCGACCGCGGCCACCTGCGCCGAAACCTCCGCGAAAACCTCCTCTACCACCGGCGTCGTCCGCCATTTGCTGAACAGAGAACAGCGAAAGCAAACGAAGCGTTAGTTGAGTGATTAAATCAAGGGCGCTTAATTCGTTCCTTAAAACACGAGCATCGCCGCCATATTCAGAGTTTGGTTCTTTCTTTCACATATTTCTAAGTGGTGATCTAATTCAGTTAATAAATTACGTTGGGATATTAAAATAAATGCTCCAAACGTTAGATTTTAGGCGAAATTGTTACATTTGACTAAACGATGTGTAAGATTATGATGGATTTTGATCACATCTACTGGGGTTCACTTACGTGATCGTTTAAACAGGAAGAAGGACGTTATGTGGGCCTGTTGGTTTATATATGAGACGTGTCATCGCGATATTTCCATTGCAGGGGTGGATGTGCTCAATGCTGCCCCTGTTGGCTACTTTGAAAGCATGGTTTCTAAACGTTCGTTCATTTGAGCACAGAAATGGGTTCTCTGCCCAATTCATGTAAATTAACGTGTGAGACTTGGTTTCAAAAGTGAAAAATGAAACACGCATTCAAATTAATCAAAACTCTCCGCAGGTAAAAAAAAAAAAAACAGTCATCTCCTCATACTCATCCTGGTTCAACTCCTTTCTTCAATCAAAAAATGGTTCATTTCAATTGTGGCATTAAATTATTTATTTACCAGATAAATAAAAGTACAGCACAACAAATTGCAAAAAATATTAATTTTAATCACATGCCTATATATATTAAAATAAACACACCTTCAGAGAGTAAACACATGCAGAAACACACAACAGTTGCCAAACAGGGAACAGTGGCATCCTCTGTCAACAGCTGCTGTTGCTGCTTGAAGTGCCACTGACACTGCCACTACTGTCCCCTAGGTCCTCCTCTTCCACCTCATGCAGGTCATCCATCACCTCCAGGCTCTCACAGATTAGACCGATCTGCCTTTTCATGTGGGCCATGGTGCTTTGCATCCTCCTCATCTTCCTCTGTAGGGCGGCGGCAATTGCCCTGTGGTTCCGCTGCCTGGCCTCATACTCCTGCCGCAGCTGCTTGTAGCAGTTGTGCTGAGCTTGGGTGCTATGGGAGAGTATGGTCCCACAGCCCATATGGCAGGGCTGGCGCCAGTGCTCACAGTGGCGTGCATGGGTTTGCAGGTCTCTGCGGAGAAGCTGCACCCTGCAGCCCTGGTATGGGCAGGGGATGAGCTCATACATGCAGCTCATGCTGTGGCAGTACTGCTCTGACAGAGGGAAAGTGTCTGCACAACCACGGACCTCATTTTTACACTGAAAGACACAGAAATTCACTACTATCAGCAAATAAAAGGTTGTTTTGTTTAAAATACTTTTTAAAGCAGAGACAATAATAGAAACATTTAACAAAATCACTGTCGTTCATAATTTTCAATCATATTTAAATGTTTGTCAAATATTAGAAATCTTTTTTACCTGGGATTTCCTGATGGTAATTAACATGATAGTTAATTTGATGGTTTTAATGAATGTGTTAAGAATGATATTTCCTTCTATGATTAATTAATATGCCAAGAAGTAGTCACAGAAGGAAATTATTTTTACCTGTATGTTTGTGTAAAAACATGAAACATTACTTCAATTTCCTACCTTGATCTTCATACGTCCAATAGATTTGCTGAGTTTAAACATGACAAAGATCAAGCTTGGGTTAACCGGCTTCCTGCAGCAGGGGCATGTCTCTTGCCTGTGGGGTAAGTAAGAGTCATTTCATATTTCTCCATGAGTAAGACTAATTAATTAAATAATTATGTTTTTAGACAACATGCTTTGTGAAGGGAAACTGATCAGATGCAGGACCTTTTTAACCACTGTAGGATGCATTTCTTGCAAAAGATGTGGTGACACGCAGCTCTCACTGGACATCTGAGGACTCCTTGACAAATAGTGCAGATCACATCATAATCTGGAGGGTCCACAAACAGTTCCGCATCATACCCTCCACTCTGCGTTGACATCTCTGGGTCTGCCTAGATTTGATCAGAATAAGCATAAAAAACTTTGAGTAAACACTGTTTTTGGTCAGAATCAGGTACTCTTACAGAGACATTGATGGGTTAAGTTGTGGGAGCTGAGGAAAGATGTGTCACTTTGTTTGCCAACAGGTGAGTTTTCTCCTCATAGCTGTCAGCAGTGCTTCTACAGATGCCCACAACCCCACCACAGTGTTCTGCATTACAGACAACAAAACAGAATTGTTCTGGAAAGTCATATGACTGACTATTTGTTCAAAAAAAGATTATACAATCTCCTGGGAATAATAATTTCCCATTGTTTATTGTTCTTTTTATTATGAACACAAAACTAGTATAAAAACAAAATCACCGTTGTTATACTCAATAGTAATTATTTTGTTTCTTTGTTTCTCACAAACTCTTAACCAAAATAACAACACGGTTATATAAACGTTTCAATGTCAAAGCAAAAGTCTGAGTTAATGTAGTTATATCTTATACTTTGGGTTTGTTTCTCAAACGAGGCACAAATATTTCACAATTTCCATATTAAACACATACAACAAAAAAACAAAAAAACAAACAAAGAAATAGCAGCTCCTGTTTACTCACCATGATAATCTCCTTTCCTCACCGTGTTTCCATTCCTGGAGCTGGTTCACTCCGTATCGATCTCCTCACATGTCACAAACAAAACACACACCCGTCTTATCAATACAACGCACACATGAACATTCCTGACAAAGCCTGATGGGAGGGATCACGAGTGTGCGCAGTCGCAAACGGAAACTGTCAATTATCCTAACGAAGGTACTTTATGGTGGTCATAATGGCGTCCTTTCCCTGCTTTTCTAGCACCAAACTAAAGGTCGGCATGTCAAACACTGACCTCCTAACATGAATAGGTGAAGCTGCGTCTTTTGTTCCTAGTGTCAGAGAAAAAATACCCTAAATTTTACACATTATTTACCCGAAATGCCTTTTAATGCTTTTGCATTCAATAAAACTACAGGACTTGGATTTTATGTATAGATTTGATTGAACGATGTTTACACTAGAAGTATGATTTTACTCTGTGAACATCTGGCCAATCACAGCTCTGTACCTCAGATGACGTACAATTTGTGCGTCTCAGCCATCAACATGCGGAATGGATGCAACGCGAATAGCCAACGTGTGAAATGAGAAATTGGCGATTTTTATAGATTGTATCAAGTAAAACCCAGACGTCTATTCAGTTTCAGTTAGCAAAATGGCAACTACAAATCTTCAATTTAAAACAAAGTAAGTTTTTTTTCTCACCACGTGTGCCAGTGTACTGGTCGCGCTAGCTGGCTACTAAAGCCGGGGCTCAAATGTCATTTTAGTTTATATATTTGACAGAGGAATGTTTACACTTTTTTTTCTTCTTGCAGTTTCGCTGTTTTCAGCAAAATAGAGCCGTTTTACAAAGGAGGGAAAGTGCAAGTGAGTAGTGTTATTTGCACTGTGTTAGCAGTACCTGCATAACCGATCAGAAACTCGGAAAGTTGTCATGGCCAACGTTACTGTTGCAGTAAAACGTTTGTTGGAGTTTCTTCAGATGTACCTGTAATCTCAGTGTTTACGTTTGTTTTTCAGATCAGCAAAGATGAGAAGTTCATCTTTTGCATATGTGGCTCTCGTGTCAATGTTTTGGAGATCAGCACAGGCAAGATTGTCCACTGTGTTGAGCATGTGAGTTCACTGTTTACATTTGTGTACTAGAGTCTTCAGCTCAATTAACAACATAAAAATATTAATAATGGTGTTTTAAGAGGTGTAAATGAGCTAATTTGATTAATCAACATAAGTAATCTTGTACCGGAAATTTGAATATATTTCCTATCAAATTAAGAATTGATTTTCCAGATTAATTTGAAAAAATACTTCTGGTTTAAGTGAAGCATAAAAGTTTGCAATTTATTTCTCTACATTACACATGACCTCTTGGATCATTAGAAAGTTAAATTGGTTGACTCTGTAAACAACTTCTGGGGTGCAGAGATGCTTATTCCCGCCCTAGAGGTACATCGCCAGCATTCTTTGACTGTTGGGTAGAGTCATTGTGACCTCCATATCTCAGTGCATCATCTTATAGAGCCATCCAATTGGTCTTGCTGCATTCTTATTCAGTTTCAAAGTGCCAAAATAAACTAAACAAAAAAAGCTAGATGCAGTGGTATCATACAATCTGTGTTTTTTTCAATATTTTATGCATCTCTTTTTGGCAATTTTGCGTGCAGGATGATCAAGAGGACATCACCTCATTTGCTTTGAGTTGTGATGACGAGGTAGGAAAACACAATTGTGTTATTTAAACTTTTTATTTTATTTTTAAAATATACAAAGCTAAAGTGATAATTTTATTAATCGCCATTCTGTGTGCATTTTCTGCTGTGTCCCTTTGCAGCTGCTGGTAACAGCCAGCAGGGCTCTCCTGCTGAAGCAGTGGGACTGGAGGCAGGCCACCTGCACTCGCTCCTGGAGGGCCATTCACACGGTTCCTGTGGCCAGTATGACCTTCGATTCCACTTCCACCCTTCTGGCTACAGGTCAGCCATTACATAGTGTGTTGTGGTCATGTGATATCGGCTACACAAACACAGCAAAATGCAAGTCTTGCTTTTGCTTTTTTCATGCAGGTGGCTGCGATGGCACTATAAAGATCTGGGATGTGGTGAAACAGTACTGCACTCACAATCTTAAAGGATCATCTGGTGTAGTTCAGTAAGTCCCATTTTTTAAGGAAACTGTAGTACTAGATTTTCATGGCCTGTGTGGAAGCGATCCTCTTAAAAATATTTGTAGAACAATTACGCGTAGAGTGCAAACATTTCTACCCTAATGGGCACAAGTGACCAGATGCAAACATGTTTGTTTTTTTACTTTGCAGTTTAGTCCAGTTCCACCCAGATATCGACAGGCTGCAGCTCTTCTCTTCCTCTCTTGACTGTGGCATTCGCCTGTGGGACCTGCGCTCCAGCCAGTGCGTGTGCGTGCTGCAGAGCCACTTTAGCGCCGTCACCTCTCTCAGCTTCAGCTGTGACGGCAGCACCATGGTCAGGTACAGCGCACCTGTACATGCAGCAGATCTCAAAACAAACCGCCATGAAGCCATTTAGGATCCGACTTTCATGGGCTGTATTCTAAAACTGACAGGCTGGAATTGTGTCGTCTTTTTTTTTCGATAGTTCTGGGAGAGACAAAATCTGCACAGTGTGGAACCTGAAGAATCGACAAGCCAAGAGGACTGTTCCGGTTTATGAGGTAAGAGTTAGAAGACTTAACTTGGATCGTGGATTCTATTTACAATCCCCATGTAGGAACAATCCTGAGGCTCATTTTGTGTTGTATAACCAGGCTGTGGAGGGGGTGGTCGTGCTGCCTCAGAATGAAGACCTGTCTCAGATTGGAGTGAAGAACAAGAACTTGCATTTTATCACAGCTGGCAGCAAAGGTCCAACGCTTAAACCCTCATCAGACCATCTCATCTGAAGGATATTGTTCAAAATTTCAGCCTCTGACTTGTACTTTTTATATTTTTTTCACTTAAGGTGTCCTGCGGGTGTGGGATGCCAGCACGGCTTGCTGCGTTCACACTCAAACTCTGCCATCCACCCTCACGGCTGGCCCCAAAGATGAAGAGGAGGAAGACAACTCTCGCAGCCTGACGTACCTTTTTCACCTTCCCGCCTCCTCCAGACTGGCAGCAGTCACTGCAGAACATAACATACTCCTCTACCAGTTGCAGTCTCTCACCACACAGCAGCAGGTGGGTGAGGGAACCTCTGATGACAAAAGACTGACCGACCTAGCTCTTGTAGAACAGCTGATTAAAATACCCGTGTTTGCTGTCATCTGAATGTTCCCAGTCATATTCATAAAGCATGAGATGACAGACACTCTTCTCTCTGCGTCTCACAGTTTGTGGGTTATAACGACGAGGTGCTGGACGTGAAGTTCCTGGGCAAAGGAGACAGTCATATTGTGGTGGCCACCAACAGCTGCCAGCTCAAAGTGTTCGAGCTCCTCAACAACAGCTGCCAGATCCTCTACGGACACACAGGTGAGTTGCCAGCAGAGGGCAGCAGGGGTCTGCACACCTCGCTTTAGATGAGGCATTCACACAACTCAAGGGGCCGCCAAGTTTCGTTAGAGCTTTTATTTTTTGATAATATTTTAGGAATTTTAACTAAATTAAATACATTTGAATAAAGGAAGTGGAGTATGAATGCGTCAGATAAATTTAAAGTAATGTAATTATTTAAGGCTGCAAAAAGCAATGGGACGCCATAAATGGAGTTTCCAGAAAATATAAAACATAAATTAATATTAAGTGTGCATGTTATCAGAAAGTAAAGGATGTGTTTTAGTCTAGTTTGGACCGGCTGAGCAGGTGGAACAGATGTTTATCTCTGTTTATCTGTTTATCTACATCAGATACTATCCTCACTCTGGATGTATTCAAGAAAGGATCTCTGTTTGCAAGCTGTGCAAAGGTATGACCACCAGTAAAGGGAAACAAAACCTGAAATAAACCTCTTGTGATAAATGTGCCTCTGTTCCAGTTATTTTTCACCTCCAACTCACAGCACGTTTTTTTTAATGTCATTAGGCATTTTATTTATACATTATGCGTGTGTCTTCAGGACAGGTCAGTGCGCGTGTGGCAGATGGACAGCGACAGTGGCCAGGTGAGATGCGTGGCTCAGGGCTCCAGCCACACCAACGCCGTGGGCTCCATCAGCTGCTCCAGGTAAAGCCCCTGATGCACTGCTCATTTATTTTCAGGGAATGAATGTTTATTTGGAGGATTTACAACCTTTTGTGTGTGCTGGTGTTTGTGTGCGTCCAGGATTAAAGCGTCTTTCCTGGTGACTGGCAGTCAGGACTGTACGGTGAAAGTGTGGGACCTACCTGCAGAGTTCTCTACCACAGAGGACGACCTGTATCAGCTGACTCCCCGAGCAACAGAGAAGGCTCATGATAAGGTAGAAGACCAAAACATTTTGGCTACAGTCCAGCAAGAAAATAAGCCATTATCAGCATCCTCACAGACATTTGAGTTCTAACGAGCTGCTTCCATGAAACGTTTACGTAAGAAAACCTGTGTCGGCACATTTTAAGGAGGTTTCTTACATTAAACTGTAGATTTTTTTCCAAACACTTGAGGACACAGCCAAATAGTGAAATAGAAACACTTTCTGAAGCCTCCCTGAGTTGATCTTTTTGTCCTTTACCCTGCACGGTAAAGAAAAATCATGTAAAGTAATCCTGATTGGCTGTTTCAGTTTCCTTTAGATTAAAGTCTATATCTCCAAATGATGCAGTCATTCATGTCCAACAGCACAGTTAAGGTACACACTAATGAGGACAACTATCCGAGCCTGTGAGTAGGCCGGTTCTGTGGCACATGAAAAGCACTGTGCCAAGTTGAGCGTGTGGACAGAAGTCACAGACAGCTCAGTGCAAGCATGTGGGAGGCCCAGTGAGGGAGCAGGTGGATAAAATCGAGGAAACTATTTTACCATTATGCAACTGCACAGATAGGAACAAACACGGAAATTTTCTTTGAGTTCAGTGTGCTCGGAATGCTCAGGAATGTGACACAAATAAAACGGTAACACAGCGTCTGGGCTGGTGTTTCCTAACGCACTGGAACGAAAACTCTTTTGCAAACTTTCCTTCCTGCTACACCTACATTCCGGTATCACAGGAGCCACCAGGGAACAAAAGTCTATCGGCAGTGCCAAGTTATTTACCTGATTGGAATTTCTGCTGTACCATTCCTCTGGAGTCTTCTAACATAACACTCCTCATGAAATGTCTCTGACAACGACATGATGTAACACCACAGACGGTGTAGTCAAGGATATGTTTAGAAATCTGAAGTTCATCCGTTCTGTTCTTTGTTAATGTTGTAATGCTGTGCTTAATTCAGTCTAATCCAACTCTGACTATTTCAATTTTCTCTCTGTACTATTCAACTTGTTTGTATCTAGTTGCCTCTGGTGAATGTTCATAAACTAGTAAATCCTTGTTTCCCTCCCCTCCTTCCATTGCCGTTCTTCCAGGATGTAAACAGTGTCGCAGTATCTCCTAATGACAAGCTGCTGGCATCGGGTTCTCAGGACCGCACAGCCAAGCTGTGGTCTTTGACAGGGGAGGGAAGCTTGGGCCTCTTGGGGGTGTTTCGGGGCCACCGCCGCGGCGTCTGGGCCGTCTGCTTCTCTCCGGTTGACCAGGTTCTGGCGAGCTCTTCCGCAGATGGCACCACCAAACTGTGGAGCCTGCAGGACTTCAGCTGCCTCAAGGTGGGAAAAAGAGTTGGTCGTGGACAGGCGCCAGTGAGCTCATGCACCTGTTTCATTAGATGTTTGTGTTTGATGCAACAAAGTTTGCAAATTTGACTATTTTATGATGTTCTCTCTTTCATTCCCATAATATTTAAGACATTTGAGGGCCACGATGCATCAGTCCTTAAGGTCATCTTTGTGAGCCGTGGCACTCAGCTGCTGACCAGGTACCCACATTCACAACAAAAAGTGACAAGTCTTCACATTTTAGAAGCTTGAAGTAGAGAATGCTTTAGTTTAGAGGTTAGCTCACCTTCATCCCTCAGCTGATGTGTGAGTCTCTGCTTTAACCTTTTTATGTATTTTTACCCAGTGGCTCAGATGGTTTAGTGAAGCTGTGGACCATAAAAACCAATGAGTGTGTGAAGACGCTGGATGCCCACCAGGACAAAGTGTGGGGTCTTCACGCCAGTCGCAAAGATGACAAGATGGTGACGGGCTCAGCTGACTCCAACATCACAGTGTGGGAGGTGAGTGGGTTTTTTTAATGTAATATCACCAAACCTTTTTTGTTTTCTATCAGGGACATTTTTTTCCCCCTAATTTCTTCTGCATCGAAAACAAAACAAATAAATGTTGTTCCTTGTGCACAACTAGGATGTGACCGAGGTGGAGCTGGCAGAGGAACAGGCCAAGCAGGAAGACCAGATACTCAAGTAGGTTAACACAGCATGACTGAAATCCTTCCCCTGTACACCTTCCATTGTTTCTCGTTTGATCAAATCGAGACTGCGGACACAATTTTCATTTTGCTGGAGATCCAGAAACTTTGGTATTCCTGTCTTTTAGATTGTATTTGCAATTGTAATCACGTGTTTATCTCTCAGGTGTTTATGTATATATGAGACCAGTTCTGAGACTCCCACTTTTATTTCCAAAGCATCCATTAAGCTAGTGTTTGGTAAAATAGGAAACGGTGTATACGTCAATTGTGCATCTGTGTGTCTGTTGTGTCTGAAGGAAGCAGGAGTTGTCAAACCTGCTCCATGAGAAGAAATATCTGAAGGCACTGGGTCTCGCCATCTCTCTGGACCAGCCTCACACAGTGCTCACGGTTATTAAAGGTACTCCATCCCGTTTTCCTTTTTTAAGTGCAAAACACATTCGAGTTTTATCCTCTGCACTGCCGAATGCACTCGGTTCACAACCAGTGACTCTCCCCTGTCATGTATTTCCCCCGTTATTATCTTTACTCTTGTTATCTTGGCTGCTCGCTGAGTCACTGGAGCGATACGCTACCCCAGCAGAGTAATGACGTATAAACACAAAAAACCGGCTCCTGCTTAGATTCCCTTTTGTGTAAATTATAAAGCGCAACCATTTTCAAACAATAGCTGCTGTCACACACGTGCAAAGCACTTTCATCATGGTTTCTTTCACATGACAAAAGAAGTAAGCCTATGGAACATGGGAAAGGCGGGCCGTGATGCAATAAGGGTCAAGAAGTAGTGTGGTTGCTTGGCCAAATGCAACCCTGTGACGGCTGAAAACAGCCTCTGTGAAATGAGGAAATTTAAACAAACAAGGCATAATCATTACAAAGAGCATCAGCAGAAATATTTCAGACCAGCTCGGATTTTTAAAAAAGATTTTTATGTTTAAGCTATAAATCCAAAGCAAAGCCACTGGTTGTCCAGCACAGTTCTGCTGTGCAGTCTGGAAACGGTTTAATGATAATGAGCCTCATGAGCCAGCGAGAAGAATTTTGTAAATCATCATTTCAAACTTGGTCAAGTACAAATGTATCTGAGGTTCATGTGTTTCCTGTGTTGCCATCAGCGATTCGTCAGGGCGCCGACGGCCAGGAGCTGCTGGAGAAGACGGTGCTGAAGCTGCGAGTAGATCAAAAAGGTAACGATCAATCATTGTCTTGGGAGAGATTTTTGGCAGTACCTTGATGCTGTTTGAAACTAAATGCTTAATTAGTTTAAAAAATGGTCTCATGTCCCCTCAGAGTCCCTGCTGCGCTTCTGTGTGGTGTGGAACACCAACGCTAGGAACTGTTTGGATGCCCAGGCCGTCCTCAGGGTGCTGCTCACACACCTGCCCCCCGAGGAGCTGCTGCAGTACCAGGGAGCCCGGACACACCTGGAGGGCCTCATCCCGTACACAGGTCAGCAGAGGGGGTGTCAGTTCAAGGCAAAATGCACGACAGCATGTTCATCTGCTTAACCATTTCCCAGACACTATGCGCAAATTAAAGTCCCCAATCTGAAAACAATCAAATATCTATTTCAAAACAATAGAGGGTTAACACTCACTCAATATGTAGAATGATACCTCAGGTCTCAAACTGTATTGAGGACATAACAAACTCAGCTATGAGCCTAGTCTGCAAAAAAAACAAAACAACAAGTGCTGGTGTGGCAGAATGGAAACACGCAGGGTGTGTGTTTCCTCCTCCAGGTACTGCATACCGTGGATCACATAAAGGTTATACAGAAGAGCCACAAGTTTTCCTTGTAGCTCCCATGGTTGTTTCTGACTGGTTTAACTCATGCAAATAGTCAGCTGGAGAAACCAGACATTCAAGGTGCAAGAATTTTTTTTTTTTTAGAGTTAGTACCCATTTCATTCAGGAAAGGGATACAAAAGGATTTTTATTTTATGGCTCAATAAGCACATCTCAGTCTGGGTCTTAGTGGGTATTTGTAATAAAGAAATGGTGGAAATGTTGAATCTCCTTTATCCCTCAGAGAGACACATGCAGAGGATTGGCAATCTGCTGCAGGCCTCCATGTTCCTAAACTACATGTGGCAGAAGATGAGGGTGGCTGGAGCGACTGTGAGGTGAGAGGGCCACCATTTTTTCCTAATTACACAAACCTGTGCATCTCCCTGTTTGGAGTGGTTGGTGTGTTCAGTGACACTGGATTTCCCCTCTGAATACCACCATTGTCCAGCGGTCTCTCAGTCTCTGGACCTGTGGGTCCAACATGACATTTATTTAGCTGATAGATTTAGCTGGGACCCCAGCACAGCACAAAGAGGTATTTGTCCCAGGGGGAAACGTGGGAAATGGAAAAAGGTGCCGTTAGTTACAGAGCAGCATTCTTTGCCCTATGCTTTCTATAAGCCGGGGAAAGCCGCCTCACAGACGAACTGTCAGCGTGCCAGATGCTGAAAATGACACCAGGAAACGTGCAGTGATTTTAATGGATGCTGTTATATTTTCTGCAGTGTGGGCCAAGACGAGGACATGGAAACTACTCCTCTGGCACTGGGCCAGCCTCTGTTTGTGGTTGACAAAGAGAAAGAAAAGAGCAGCGTTGACGAGAGGCTCGACCAAGACAATCACAGTGAGCAAGACGAGGACCCAAGTGGCCTCATGGAAGACGAAGAGTACGCCGATGAGGTTAGTGCCACCAAGAAAGCCTCGACCCATGAGAGGCGGATAGAAACCAATGGCAACCACCATTCTGAAAGCGAGGAGAGCTCCGAAGAGGAAGAGACAGAAGAAAATGACAGGGAGCAGGTGCAGCTGGTGAAAAATGTCCCAGTTTCTTGCGTAACACAGTGTCAGACTTCAAGCTGACAGGAATCCGCAAGCGAAGCACTGATAGCACAAGTCTGAAAAACATGCAGCCACAGGATATTTTCCTCTCAGCTATCAGCTGACTACCAGCTGGAGTGGAGCCTGAAACACAGAGAAAACAATGGAGATCTCTGAAAAGTTTCTCTGAAAAGACTTTCTGTGTTGGTGCAAGATTTGGACTAAGTATGTCAATATTCCACTGCAATGTTTTTTTTTCTTCCATTTAACATCCAAGAAGGGAAATAGAGCTGATGGGAGGGAACAGATCCATGATGGTTTTAGTTCTGTTTTCACACTGGTGGGTTTCTGCTGTGTCTCTTGACTGTCTCAAACAGTGACCAACGCAGGAAAGTTTTACACCTGACCAACATTTGTTATGACTGCAAATGCTTATCAATAAAAAACATGGCATTTCACTGCTGTCAGATGTACGATATATAAGACAAAAAGTTGCAAACTTCCATTGAGTTGCTTCTGCACAATTAGAATAGATTATTTGTTTGGTTATGTTCTGCTTTAAAAACACACCTCAGTGATCAGAACTGGTTGCTGTTTTTTTTTATTTCTAAATATGACAGCTTAATTTTTCTATATTTTGTATCTATTGGAGTCATCAACAATAACTGGCTAATTAAGTGCAATTCCTCGCTATTCAAGGCACGCTTCCAAAAATGTTCGCCACATTAAACAAATTGTTAATTCTACAGTAACACAAGTAAAATATGAACAAACAGATTTTGGAGTAGAAGTTTTATTCATGAAAAAACTGCACAGCGTGTAGAATAAGCTGGAAGTGAGTTTTAGGAGCTAACAGCCAATAAAACCCTTTTTCCTCCCTCCCACCGTACAGACCCAGCCCTGTGTGCGCACAGGGTACGGTGTCAATGCATATAAGGCACAACAGAAGGTTTCCAGTATGGAAAATAGATCCAAAACAGAAATAGATGAAGCAAGCACAAAATCAGTTCGAGGAAAACATTTGATCAGATCATCACTAACAATTAACAATATGCTTAACCCAGAGCCCTTAAGAATGGCCTAATTCTGGTCAGTTTTCAAATTCACTTTAGAAACAAAAGTAAGCTTCTATTGCCCAACGCATAGATAATTATATATTTTTTAAATTGGGATTAGCTTCATCGCCCGGTGATCTCGGTTTGTGTGGGCGAGGCGCTGCCTTTGGCCACGTTCTTGCGGGTGACGGTGCTACAGCGGGTGAGGATGTCCTGGGCTTGCGGCCGGGGGGGCACCCTGGGTGAGGAGGGCCTCTGGAAGAGGCTGGGGTCAGAGACGCTGGGCAGCAGCCTGCCCTCGGCGGCGGCGGCGGGGCTGAGGTGGGCGGCGGCAGCGCCGGTGGGGGGGGGCGTGCGGCTGAGGCGCAGCCGCTCCTCGTCGGCGCCGAAGGCCAGGTTAAGGGACGACTCATCGGAGAGGGAGCCCAGCTCATCGCTGAAGCTGCTGCTCTCAAAGCTGTCCTCGGCCCCTGCCGCCATCGGCCCAAAACCCTCCTCCCCGTCCACCATGATGGCAGGTGGAGGAGCCTGCTGTCCAGGAACAGCTGAAGCAACACGGGTTTGTCCGGGGGCTCTGTTGCTTTCCAAAGCCGGGGCCCGAGGGACCTGAGACAGCCCGGTCAGGGAGAGGGCCCTCTGGGTCCTCCCCGCGGGGACGGGACTGGGCGAGGGAGATCTGACGGGCAGAAGCTGCAGCAGGTTTCCTTGGGAGCGGCTTTGCTGGGACTGCTGCTGCAGGCCGGCAGAGGGAAACAGAAAAGGGGAAGAGCTCCGGGAGACTTGATGGGACGTCATGAGAATCTGAGGAGAGCTGTAGGGCTGCAGGCACATGGCCGGGATGTAACCCTCCTTCTCTCTGTGTCTGGCAAAACAGAAAGGTGGGGAAACTTAGATCTGCACTCGCTTAAAATGGGAGTTCTCCAAAAGTATTCTTGGTGCATTTTTAAACACTATTTTACAATGTTTAATCAGTCTGAAGTAAATCAAATTCATGACACTGAATTTTTGTTATCTGAAATACAATATATGGATGTGTTTATGTGCTGATTCGTATAAAATGCAAATTCTCTTAATTATCGGGATCCAGTTCAAGACACTTACAAACATGAAAAATTCATTTTGATCTCGGTTTTAGCTTGAGTCTTACTCAGTGATTCTCATGGTACATATAGCTTTGTTCCTTAGGAAATGTCCCTGAGTATCAAACCCTTTTCCACCCACTCAAGTATTCAGCATCAAATATATGTAGAGTTGTTGACTTTTTTTTCTGTCTAACTCCTGTGAGAAATTTTAAGATCTTTTCTTTAAAATACGAAATACAAATAATGAACTTCTTATGGAACGGTATAATTTTCATCAATGGTATATACAAGATTCAATTTTACATGGACTAGTCTGAAGAGGCTTGTTTTGCTGGAAGAACACTATAGTGAAGCCATTAGGCTTAGTAAACATTTCAGCTGGGCTCAAATGCCTACCTGATGTACCACCAGCCGTTGTCAGACTGCCGCAGGACCTCCACCACTGTGCCTATGTTTACACTTATCTCATCATCTTTGGTGGCGTTGTAGGTCTTGATGGCGGTGTGAAGAAACCCTGAAGACGGTATTGACAACCTTAACAATCGTGTCAAATGTAATCTTCAGTGTGTACGTTAAAAAAGTAACATTGAAAACCTGTTGAAGTGATGCAGGGAAAGTTTAGCTATGTGGATACCTCTTTTTGGAGTGCCATCTAGCTCATCATCATCATCATCATCCTCATAGTCATCATCCTCTAGCCTCTCCAAGTAGGGAGCAGGAAACCAGGCCATCTGCTTTTTTTCATTTTCCACAAGCCACCACCCTGGACCCAGACGGTAATGCGTTATGGCCAGAGCTTTAGGGCCTGTCGCAAACATTCCCAACGCCGCACGCCGATTTTGCTCACCTGCTTTGTCCTTGATGAGCACATCCACTTTTTCGTCAACGGCCACTTTGAAAGGCTTGTTCTTGGTGTCTTTGGTCTCATACTGGGCCACGCATCTGTACATCTCTGTGACGAACGGCTGTGTGACGTTTCCTGCCTCCACAAACCCTCCGTTGCCTCTAATCTCCTCCTCCGAGAGCATGATTTTAATGCTGAGGTACACCGCAGAAAAAACAGGTAAAAAACGTCTTTCGTGTGGTCTTAGTCTGCTCACATGCAGGTTATTACTGGGGATTTCTGAAGTGACTGCTCTCCCACCCATCAGGAAAAACTAGTTTAACATTGTCCTTGCAAACTTCTTTGATTAGATCTCAAGACAGATTGAAATTTAGCTTTTGGTCTATGACTATTTGAACATTTTAACTTAATTCACCTTTAAGATCTGATAAATGTAGTAAAAGTAAATGTGGAGATTACAGGAATTGCAGCCTCACTTTTTTAAATAGTTGATCTAACAGTGTTCAAATGGGAAGCTTGGTCTCAGTTGCTGGTGAGAATTACATTCTGAAATGTTTCCCCCTGCAGATTCAGTAAGAATATTTAGGGAAAAAATGTTACCTGCTCTTGAGGTACTCTGGGTCAAGGTCTTGACTTGTAGGTTGGAAGAACCGGGTGAGGTCTGGACACTGTGAGACACGCGGATCGCAGCTCAGAAGCTCCCTACAATATTTCTGCAAAACCTTGAGGCGCACCAGGGACTTTGTTGGAGCCTTTTCTCGTTTCTTCTTCCCCTTATTGTCTTGAAGACCGCAAAACATGTCAAACTAAATGCAAACAGTGTTAAACTAGACATTTAATTTAGTATTTAGCTCTTAACAATTACCTTTAAATTTAGGGAGGATTCGGTCAGATTTTCTCCCTTTGCCTGTCGATGGAAATACGTTTTTCAGTTCTTTCTGTGAGAAAAATAAAAAAGTAACACATTGTGTTTTACAAAAAAGTAACTTGCATCAAAAATAAGGCAATACAAGCAATACTTTATACTTACATGCATTTTCTTGAAATCCTTGAAGCTTCTGTAAACCACAATCTCAGCCTGGTCTGACCAACCCACAGAGGTTATATACATCTAAAAGAAGAATACACAGAGTTCAACACATCCTAAAGAAACAGATCATCTCAAAGTCGATATGAGGGAAATCTTCCGTGGCCCTACTTTGCTCTTCCCCTTGTGCAGCACTCCAGTGAGTGAGACACTGATGGGATAACGCTCGGACTCCATGATGCCAGGCCAAAGTGTTTTTGGTCCAAGAGTGAGCTCCACCACAAGCCTCCCCGACCTGATTTTGGCACTGAAACAAGGAAGCTTTGCGGGTGAATTTATAGTTGCTCCATGGAAAAAAGAGGCGTGTCATTTGTGACTCTTCAAAGAAGGAATTCCTGAATTGCTAAAAAAAAAACACGTGTGAAAATGTACCATGATACCATCCAAAGGGGATACCATTAGAAGTGAAAGATTATATTGGACATTTCATAGCTTCAGAAAAAATATATGTGGGCTTGATTCCAGCTTGTCATGTCTTCCAAAATCTTTTGTTGAAACAAAGAGAGCTTTCATTGAAGTATTACAGGTTTATACAGTCATTAAGGTTATCAATTTTACATTACTTTACATTATGCTAATTTCTTAACTGTCTACATACTTTCTTGGCTCCAAGGGTGCTGATATAAAGTGTTAAAATTATGTTAGCTAAAAATATAAAAGGATGCAATAATTACTTAGATTATAATAACTTTAGTTTTTACAACAATGATCATCCTGGTTGTGCATCATACTCTTATCACAGCCATGAAATATTTTTGCCGTTGGGCTTACAGATAAATATGCCAGACAAGGAAGTTGTTTCCCGAAGTATTTAAGAACTCTTTTTTTGTTAAAGATCTTTTTTCCTTCTCTGTGCAATCAGGTATTTCAGCTGAAGCATGTACGCCAAACATGAGTCCCTTCTGTGCATTCACTTTGAATTTTTTTATGTCTGTAATGTTCTTGTTACTATGTAATTTAGGTAGAAGTAAACGTATTTCCCCAAAGATATTTGAAAGAAAAATACATCACTATAAGATAAAATAAATATCTTTTGTCAGATTTAGAAATGTTTTTCCTTAAAACACCTTTAAAAAAAATTTAGCTGAAAACTGAAGAGTTCAACCCTTCAAATGATAGTACATCTGGGCTGATCATGTGGAAAGACGACCAGAGGAAGACTGCATTTATTTCAAATAACTGCCACTACTTAGTTAGGTTGTGAATTTAATATGGGCAGAGATAGTGTCTTTATACTAAGTCATCCACAATGTTAACAAAAAGCTTAACTCTCATATAGCATTTTGTACAGCTAAACCACAGTTAAACCAAAAACGTTTTAACTTAAACTTCACGCCAGAAAACAGGAGTTTGCTTTGGATGGGCAGACACTGACATCTAGTGCCAGCTGCTGTAACGTCAGACACTTGAGCAACTGCACTACAAAACATCCTAGTATGCTTTCCATGGTGGAGAGGAGAATTATTGGCAATGCTTTATACTTATTTTGTGTTTCCTTCTGAACTCCTAAATTCTGCGGTTAAACTTCAGGGGTTCCATACACAAAGTAATGAACTCAAAGAGTGCGACCCCCATAACACAACTTCCTGAGAATACACAAGAGACACCACACATTTATGAAATAGTTATCTTTATTTCTCTGCACATTATATTTTGATATAATTATGATAAATCTTTTTTCAAATTAGAATGTCTCCATCAAGACTTTGAGTGATACAATCCTAAATGAAGGTTTGCTTCTTAAATTGCACAGTTCCCCTTCATTCTGTTACAAGATTCATAAAAAAAGAAGAAAAAATGAGTTCAAAGTTGTTAGGATTGTAAAGTGAAAAAAATTACGATGGCAACATTTCTCCTGCATTAACCCACCAAACTGCAGGCGTGCACGAATCTTTCCTAAATTTGACATCAAACATGGTCAGAAACACTTTGAGAATCCAAACAAGAAAAAACATTTTCTCCCAAACACAGAAATATTCTCTGATTTGTATCAAATAAAAGCTTTACAAACATTTAAAACTGTAAGGCAGAAGGTTTTTCCAATAGCATCAAAGGAGGTTAAATTCATCTTCACTTCCATGCGCTTTTTTGTTTATCGTAAAAAGTGCTTTATTTCTTTTTTTTTCCAAAATAGTTTTTACCGAGCAAGAAATCTTGGGAAGTTTTGAGTGTTTTGTCAAAAAGTCTGTTTGAAGACTGAAACATTCAGGAGATTCAGACTACTTTGCTGCATTTCGTCTTTAGCCACACACAGAGAACTCGTTGCTCAGGTCTACACTTTCAGAAATAAGTCATGTGAATAATTACTTAAGACTATGTTTCAAATCAGGTATGAGCGCTGATCGAAAAAAAAAAAAAGAAATTCAGCATTTTGGAGGTTTAACAACTTTCTAGTAGTTGTCTTTGGCTTGCATAGAAAAAACAAAACAACATTGTGGAACACTGAGAAAGCTGCTTTCTTTAAAAAAAAAAAAAAAAAAAGGTTATTTGATACACGAATGACCTGTTTTCAGAGCTCAGTCCAGCTGGGAGCGTTTCAGTTACTAACTGCTCTTGGCTTTGAAACAACAAACAAGCACACCATCGTTGGTCAACAACTCATACACATATCTTGTTGACAAGTCTGCTCCCGCTGCAATCCTTTGCCAAAAAGCACACTACAAGGAATCAAACCCATCTCGCACATTATTTTTATATCAAAGAGAGGAGAAATATCTCCATCTTTCCTGAACAAAACTCTTTCCACAACTTTCATACTCTCATCTTTGCAACTTGTAACTGAAAGGCAATGTTTGCTCTCCTCCTGAAAGAAAACATGATTTTATTTGCATGCCAGAATGCTCGGAGGCGGCTCGTGTGAGTGCAGAGAGGTGAACTGAAATAAAAGCAAGCCAAAAAAGAGCAAATTAAAACGCCAAACATCAGCTTTGCTGCAGAACTGTACATGTGCCACGGCCTTCCTCACTCTTCAATTTGTGCCCTCTCTTCTGCAGCGTGGCACTAGAGTGTCACCTCCAGTGCTGCGGCCTCAGAGGGCTCTCCGTTCTTCCTGTCCCAGATCAGCGCAGGGCAGCCTGAACTGTCCTTTCCTCCAAACCGAATTCCTCAACGTCACCGAAATTCGTAGATGGGCATACTGTGCTCTCGAATATGGTTGAGGCTTAAAGACTGGTACCTGCATGGGTAAATAAAAGAAAACGCATTAAAAAATGTGTCTTAAAAATGTATCTGTCTTTTCTGTAGAATGTGGTTTGGATGCTGGTAATTACCACTCTGAGCTCCTGTGGTAATAATAGCCCTCAATGGTTGCAGTAGATTTCTGGAAGCAGATGTAATAGAAACCAGCAAAGGAAGCCCCACTGATGTCTTTGATTGTGTGGTCCGGAACTAAAAACTGCTCCTGAAGAGTGCAGCAAGAACTGAAGTTACAGCTTGAACAGTCAGGAAAAAAGAGTGTGGATCGGTCACAGTTTGATAATGTTCTGACCTTCCACCTCATGAAGATATAATCACTGTTTTCAAGAGCGTTGTAGTCAAACTCATCTGAGTTAAAGCTTTTGGCATACTTGTAGAAAGCGTGGAACTTTCCCTGAGATAAGACCACAAAGATCAAGAACAGCCAAAAATTAGGACTAAATTTTAACTCATCAGTCAAGGGTGAAATAAAAAAAAAACTAAACAAAAAGTAAAAGATAATGTACAAATCAGACTCTAAAGTAGCTTGCAAAGCGTCTGTTAAACAGTTAAACGTTGGCAGCAACACTAAATAAGTTGATTATGAACTGGCAGGACATACCCAGTGCTTTCTGTCCACATCCTCATCTGCGTCCCACTTTCTAGTTAAAAAAGGCCTCTTGCGGCTAATAATTTCACCAACAAAGAACGTAGTAAGAGTTGGATACTCCTATGTTACAGAAAAGAAAGAAGATGGACGAATGAATCAGTAAAGAATATTGAACCAGTAAAGCAACATCATGAGAACTTTCACTCCCAGAATCTTTGTGACCTGTAGAATTTAGCGGGGACAGGAAGAAGCAACCGTTATGATGATCATAATAGTCATAAAGTTCTGGGTATCAGCAATTCACTGTACAGATAAGAACTGTACTGTTCTGCTTTTGCTGCATTTAGATCTCCTCCATCCTAAAATTGTTTTACACACAATGAATAAATATAACAAGAGAAACATTACCTGGTTTTGTCATCAGTTCTTGATTTCATAGGACTCATAACTTACAGACATACAACCTGACTGCTCATCTTTCATTCTACCCCTCCACGGCCAACATTTACTTTTGGACTTGCTGACCTTTTTCCTTCCACATGTTGCATAATGTAACGGGTATAGAGTTGACACACTTATGACAAACTTTGTGAGGCAGGCCATACTGGAACTGCAACTGCAACTCACATTTTCTTGACTGAGCTGGTATCAAGCGTGCGGAAACCAGTTTGTGTTTAGTTTTCAAGAGCATAAACGTCAGCCTTACTACAGCTGACCTGGTTTCAAGGCTCACCTCAGTCAGGCCTTTGATCTTCAGGTATCCACACAAATATGAGTCCTCCACAGTCACATGCTGTCCAAGACAAACAGATTATGGTACACTTATCTATGTATGTGAGGCCTGAAATCACAAACGAATTTTATTTAAATCTCTGAGTGGACAAGCAAGCAAGCATTATATATCATGTTGGTAAAATTGCTATTGAAATTCCTGATAATGGAACACTTGTGGTTGTTATGCTTTTTCATAAAATAAAAACATGTTAGAAGACGGTTTCCATTGCAAGCAATTCATTCCAAATAATTGACGTTAAATGTTACGTCTAAAAACAAAAATGGCTCTGTAACACAACCACCAAGGCTCAGTTACCCCAACATTTAGGATGTTAGCAACTAGGGCTACAGCTAACTTTGCATTTTAGTTTCAAGAATTTCAGTCTAAACCATTTCAAACAAGAAATACCTGCAAAGCCACTTCGACGTCGTATGAGTTGCCTTTGCTCCGTTGGTATCCCCGAAACTGTGAGCCACTGTACAGCAGCGTCGTAGCCACCCCCGGCTGGTAAGTGTTGATCGGCGCAGGGGGAACAAGACAGGCCGAGGATGGGCAGGCCGAGCCGGTTGTACAGCGGCACTCTGCTCGGACAGGCATGATAAGCGCTAAGGAGTCTCCGTCAGCAACCGTCATGAACTTTGAGACAGAACACACCACAACAAGACTCAAAAGGGTACAAGCAAGGGAGGCTGAACCCACAGAAAAAAAATCCCAGAGGTCCCAAAGTTTCTTTAATTTTATCACTGATCCATGGGGTTATGACTGACGAGGAACATAGTGACGTTTATTTGAGGATCCAGCTTCCTGGAATTTCATTGGTTGAAATCTGGCATTTGGCATGAGCAATATTTTTATTGGATAAAATGCCGAAACGCATTCTGGGCATTGTATTAAATTCCAAAGTTGACAGATGTACGGTTTAGCAAAATACATTTGACTTTTTAATTTATCATTCGCTTTGGATAAAAGAACGCAATATATTATTTTTTCAAGTATGTGGTGGGGAAATGAAAAGATTCCATGGAAATGATAATATTTTGCAGTATTTTTGCAACAATATCTAAAAGCTTCCATAATTGAAGGTAAATGTTGTGGGAATGTACTTTAATGTCATGCTCCATTGTTTAAAAACTATGTTATGTACATAGTGGGAAGTGTTGTCCTTTATGAACATCAACTTGAGCAGCACTGTTCTTGGAACAACATTTTCTTGGCTCCAGTCATGGCGCTGCAGAAGGGAGCGATTCAAAAATGTGTTTATGCCCTCCTCTACTAAAGTGTTTTAAGTGTTTTTTTAGTTGTAGAATTTAATATGTGCACTTTATTTTTCTATTGTATTTTACTACTGTTATTTGTAACTCTCTTTCAATTTATTATTTTATTTATGTATGCGTGATAATGAGTTTGACTGTGTTTGTTACCAGACACCTGAAGACACCTATAAAAAAAAACTCTCAGTATTGAATGAAGTCAATTCAAAGATCTCGCTGCATTTTGATGACAGTGAGTAAAAAGTTTCTGTTTCAGCATTACAATAGAATAGGCTCAGAGCTTTTTGCAAAAGGCCATATCATTTTTACCTGTAAATAATTAGAAAATAGACTTGGGGAATAAAACGTTGTTACACAGAAGGAGGAGTAATCATTTTATATGATAAAAATATGCAAAATATGTAAACACAGAAAATCTCTTTGCAAACTCTTTGTTCAAATGGAATGCTGCTGCAATTTAGACAGCTGGTTCCTCAGATGGTCCACATATCTGTTCACGTCTGAGATGCGCGTGTGGCTTTGCTGAATTACTTTTTCTCGAATCTGTGAAAACCCACAAAGGAAAGGATGAGACGATGAGTAGAAAAATTATAATTCATCCATGATTATAAATTGGACAGTTTGAGCCGTGGTACTGTCACTTCTGTACCTCTTTAATGAGAGACACTTCCCAGTGATTCACACGTATAACCAACTGATTATCTCGGTCATTGATTGTCAGCAGGTGGTTATCATGGCTGGTGGCCAAAGCTTCCACCACTGAATCTTTGTCTGTAAACAGCTAACAGCACAAAATACAATATCTTGTTGAATACCTTGGGGGAATCATGTTTGTGGCAGACAAGTCGAGAACTAATACATGTTGCAAAGGTAATACTAAAATGTGTAGATAGCAAAGTGTGTGCCCTTTCTCATGTGTTTCTTATGCATTTTATCTGAGTGCCCACATGCCAAATGTAAAGCACTTCTCCTCCCTGATTCAAATAAATCTGTCTTGCATGTTTTGCCCTCTAATTATATCATGTACCATGTAACACGCAGTAAGAATTTTGAAATGCATAGGCAGAATGAAAGAGGTGATACTGACCGATACCACATCATCTGGTATGTCCTCTTCTAGATTTTCCTTGGCCACTCTATCCAGTAACGCAGAAGCAATTTCTTGCATTTTCTGATAATAACTATCCTCCAAATCACGACACTGAGCAAATGTATCATTGTGTCAAAGAATAAATGACAACTAACAGTAAACTAACAACTAAAGTAAAATAAACAGGCTGTTGTCTTGATTATTTAATAAAAAATGGGATCAGATTCAAATTAGGCTGGATGAAAGCAGGACATGAGCAAGTTTTCTTTTTCCTATTAACTTCTTTGTTTTTTCATGATTATTTAGGGGATCTAAATTGATGGTAGGAGTGAGACTCTGTATGTATGGTGGTTTATCCGTGTGTAGCCCTGGGATGGTTTGACAACCTGTCTGGGGTTTACCCTGCCTCTCACCCAGTGACAGATGGGATACACTCCACCTCTCAATCAAACCTGAAATGGATGTTAATAGAATAGATCTATATATTAATATATATATATATGTAGAAGAGGGATAGATAATACCCAACTAAATCAGAATACTACTGAATTAGTGTTATTGAAAATGACCTAGAGCTACCATGCAGACACAAACAGAAAAAAGGATATATCCCCTGTGCTGTTTCACTAAAGTTGCCCACCATGTCTGAGATGCAGCTGTCAAGCTTTCTGATATTATCCTGAAATTAAAACATAGTGTCACAGATGATAAAAGTGAAACCAAAGCATGATATCAAGGAAAAAATTATTATTTCCAGATCTATACGATAAGGGATACCACAAAAAGATTCTCAAATTCAACTACATGCAAAACTTTTATAGGATGCCAAAACTTTGAATGATGCATGTTTACCTCCAACTTGCCATCCATCTCAAATTCCAGTGTCAAGAGACTATTATAGAGCTGAGTGATTTCATCTTCATGGTGGCTGAGCTTCTCCTCAAATGCAACCGGGTCTGATAATTGTGGCAACTCCATTATGCTCTAATTGAAAATACAGGGGATTAATGATAGTAATCTTACAGAATGACTGAAAAGGACTGATGTCTACAGACCAATCTAATTAGATTGTTATGAGAATTAAATAGCCCTCTCTGCTTACCTCTTTGTGGTGTTCTTCAAATGTTGCCAGCACCTGTGATGCTTCATTCCTGTAGTATGTCTGAATCTCATTCTGCCCGCTGAAAAAAGAGTTCAGCTCTGTCTCCCTTTGTTTGTGCTGAGCTAAACCTATGTCAAATAGGTTTGTACACAGCTCCACAATTTGGCTCTCGAATGTAACCACAAAGTCAAGGAATTCAAGGAATCACCTTGTGCATTTACGTGAATAAGAAAATAGTAAATCAAAGGATATGTCTGAATCAGAGGAGCCACACCTGGAACACGGCATAACCTTTCTGCCTCGGGATCATCTTTACACATACTGTTAAACAGATAAGATCCATTCAGAAACTCCACAAAGGCATCCTATCAGAGAAAAACACATGTAAAACACAGCATATGTAAAGTGCACAGATACAAATCTATCATATTTGATCATACTTTGTGTAAGTCTTGCTCATTTTCACAGCTTTGGTTGGCCACAGCTTGTTTCTGCAGCTCTTCATTCTTCATTTTCTCAAGGATGTATTTGTATTTGGTGAACGCGTCTTGTCTCTGTACATAGACAAACCTACTTGGTTAAAATGAATTCTCTATCCGCAATGATTTACTTTTTAATAAAATAACTGAAACTCTTGCTATAACAGAAGGGACAATGAAAAAGTGACATTATTATGATTACTTGATTGATTACTTACTATTGTTAATACTTACAATCTTTTTGTTAATTAGTATGCGGTCCAGAAACATCACACTGGGAAAGTACGCAGCAATGAACAAAACGTAATCTTCCTCCTCAGTAACAGGATTTCCGGTCATGTAGAGTTTGAACAGTTTCTTAAACCTCCTAAGGTAAAGAACCTTTGAAGTCAATCAGATATACTTTACGTTAATTTTTTTAGATATACTGTTAAACTGCATCGTCTGTCAAATGGTACTTGGATCACAAATGCAGTATTTAACATTTATTTAGTATGATAAAATCCTCTAACATTGTCCAACTGGCTTAGAAGGTTGTTTGCGATGAGGAGATGTCTGAGGTTTTCAAGTGTATCCATGTTCTCTATGCGAGTGATTTTGTTGCTTGATAGATTCAGCATTTCAAGCTTCTGCAGAGACTCCAAGCCCTCAATTTTCTCGACCCTGTTAAATGACAGATCTGAAAGATGCATACAAAATGACATGTCATTGCAACAGATACGCTATGGCCTCATCTTGTAAGAAGTTGCAAATATATATTTTTCCATTGCATGCAACAGAAAGAAAATAAAGTTAATCTCACTAAGCCACTGTAAATTAGTCAAACTATCCAGTCCTCGGATTTCAGTTATGACGTTGTTATTGAGATCAAGCCTGACCAAAGATTTGAAATCCTGGAGAAGGTCAATCTTAAAGATATCTGTAAAGAAGAAAAAAATCTCACATAAAAACATGTAACAGACATTGAAGCACTATAAAAATAAAAATAAAATGCTAGTCCTTCTCACTTTTATATGCCAAGTTTAAATCAAGGATTTCGTGGAAATAGATTCTTTCTGTTGTGCTAATTAGACAAACTATATCACCGATTTTCTTCATAACAGTTTCTTGCAGAAGCCCCTCATTGATGGCGATGGGCACTGAGTCCATGTTGCTTTTAATTGTTTTGTAGACACAGGACAACAATTCAGTCCCTGTTCAAAATAGCAGGACAAGTATGCTTTCATTTCTTCGAATAAACATTTAAGACATACAAATTGAAGATACAGTATGGTATAGCAATGTCAGGTTTAGTTGAAGTTTTTACCTACCACTGACAACAAAAAAAAACAATTATTGTCGTAAAATAGCAGTAAAATAAATGCTGCGCACTATTTAAGCGTATACCGATTTCCCTCTGTTGCTATTCACTGTTACATAGCAACAGGTTGATTCTAAGATGCGTTCAAATCATTAACGCAACTCTGTAAAAAAAAAAACTCAATTGCCATTACGTTGTGTCACGTTTGCCCTATGGAGTTATTAAACCTATAAAACTAACTTCTGCTCAGTTATAAACAGAGAACTTGTTACTCATAATTTACTATTTACCTTTTTTGTCAAGCAGTTTACTTAGCTTTTCTTTAAAAAAAACATTAACTATAGCCACCATGTCTATTCAGATACAAATGCCCAAGAGCATTGTTTCTATTGATCCAATTTAATTTAGTACAATACTATTAATATTAGATATATATAAATGAAAAGTTATGTTATAACCAACTGATCGTCTCATACGTTTTGTGAACGCAGCTTTGGGTCTTTATTATGACTGTCATTCATTTTGCCCAAACAGATTAAAGCTTCAATTTCCGTTCAACCAATAGTACTCCTGGTTGGGCGGGGCTTATTGGCACAGCCTCTGGGCCTCAGCCTCTGTCATTCCCAAGCGGATCGTTTGTTGTCAAAATGGAGTTCTTGCTAGGAAATCCTTACAGTACACCCGTGGGCCAATGCATAGGTACGTCAAGCCTAAAATTGTTGATAGGAGGAATTCTTATTTTTCCACAAGACAGGCCGTGGGAATTTTCAACGAAAATGAATAATTTTTAACTGAGGAAAAAGCGAGCTAGTTGGCATCTTCCTTGCAATCGTCATCTGCCTGGAATGAGCTCTCAGCTAATGTTAGCCGGTATCTTCCTTAACTTAGTCCGCTAGAATTATAAGTGTGTTCTGCAAAATTGCTGTGTGTTTTAGTATCGCTCCTGTGTTGTGGGTGTACAGAAAATACATTTCTAGGCTTAATAGTCAGTGTATTGACGTGGCTGTCAAACCCTTTCCAGCGCAAGATATCCCTCAGTCCATGAACAATAGTTGACCAAATAGCAGCCCGTTTCTCTCTTAAAAACATCAACAAAACAATTGCATCTCTTTGTAATCAATGTTTGGTTTGCTTATCTCTGTAGAGGAATAGAAAGGTCTGTAGCCTGCCTCAGTTACAGTTTTAATTCTTGCAACATATTTATAAACCTCAAAGAGCCTCTGATTTAGATCAGAAGTCATCAGTGCTGTCCCCTTTGATAATCTCTGGTAAATGCAACTGATGAGAAGGGCTTTGGAAACTTTGTTTATGCAGGGATTTATATTTACTTTTAAGACGTTCCTTTTACAGACAGTGCACTGATAACCATCTTATTCACAACTTCATCTAACTGCTTGACTTAGATTTTTCTTACTAGTGTTTTCCAAGTTGTGTAGAAGATCTGTAAGAGTTTTAGCAGCTTCTCCTCTTTGATGGATGTTCTGCTAAACACCTGCAAAACACATCTGGAGCAGTCAGTTACATGTATAGAATTGTGTAATCAAACTAACTTGCTGTTGCACTTACAATAAGGTTGACTCATAAACCAGGTCAATCTTATGCAAATATTAGACTTGATAGTGCTCTAAACCTATTGTGTCACCAGGAGCATTATTCCTAGTATTTTTAACCTGCAAGTTAAGCGTCTGGTTGAATGCAGCGCACCTTGGAGTTCGGCATTTCACAGTGGTGCCTGTACCGTCAGAACCCAACACTGTGGAATTGTAACCGGCTATCTGTTGCTGGGGATCAACTATATACATATGAATTTAGCAAATAAGTAGATCTTGCTAAACGTTTACATAGCTGACTGACCAACATTTGCCTGGTGTTAGTTTTTCGTTGTTGCCAGGGCAAGTTGAAGCACATTTGAGAACAGGAATCAGGGAAAGATGCCTCAAAGCCTTAAAAGTCCACATTGAGGAGAGAAGGGCCAGGGAGTGACTTTGTGGCTTTGTTGGCAAGTGCATGGCACAGCTTTGCTCTGTTATAACCACGTGATAGACTGTCTTCTCTTGTGTGGTGTCAATTCTCAGGACCTGTGTGTGGGTCTAGTGTGGGGAGCTAGCACAGCACCACCACAAATGAGCATAGGCGTTAGGAAAGCTGCAGCTTTTTCCAGTGTTGGTCTAACACATTTGATAGTGTATTTCCTCCTACGTGTTTGTGCTCTGCCCTGCTTTGACATAGCAATCCACTTGAGGAGATTACATGGGATATGGCAAAAGACGAAGGTGGTGGTTAACTGTGTCAAACTCATGTTCTTTATGCTCGCAGTGTAAGTCCCCAGACGTCAGACACCACAATGGCTATGATGACTTTTTATAGGTAATCTGCTTGTAGTTGGGAAATGCAGAGAACAAATAAAAAAGACTAGATCGATATCTTATCTTCTGACATTTGGACTGGAGAGTGAGTTAGACCATGAAAAAGGCCAAAGTAGTAATTTACAACATTTAGGACCCTGGTTAAGTGGGAGACCTTTGGTCTGGGTGTGACAGCCCGCTCTGGGAGAACCGCTCCTCCTTTCGAAGCTGCACAATTGATAAAGTTCAAATTTATTGAGGCTGAGTGGCAGAAAGTCAGTCATGGCTTCCTATAGTGGTAAAGCTTTTTTCTTTTTTTATCTTGCAAATCGGACTCAAGGCATGCATCATCCATGCACATGATGGATGGACTTGTGGGAGAGAAGAGGTGGAAGGAGATGGAGCGAGGAACTGTGAGGGCTTGCGTGTCAGCCCATCACTGTGGCCTCTCACGGTCCGGATCCTTATGTGTCTTGCCTGGAGCCAAAAAGCTATTAAATGATGGAGTTGAGTGTGAAGGAGAGCTCATCTCACTGTGGTTCCTGTTTCAGGCAGTTATGAACAGCTGCATCAAACACAAAGCCAGTGTCACTTTCCCCTGACGTGCTGCCTTACCGCCCTCAAGCTGAATGTTTGGTTCTTTCTGTTAATTTATCAGAAGCACCTGAGGGGCAGATGGCGGGTGATTATTTCTTAAAACGTGACAGTTTTGTGCAAGACCTCCAGACAGTGAAAGGAAATGAAAAATTGTGGTCGTCTCACCTGCCTCCCGATCCCAGGCTGAGACTTCATCCAAATCCTTCTGACAGAGATTAGTGTCCTGTCTGGCTATTAATAAATTGTCTTCACACAAGCTGCCTGCTTTTCAAAAAGGGACCTTCAAAATAGCATGAAGCTTATTTACCTGGAGTTTGTGACTGTAACGATGGACCAAAGTGGCCTTTTGAAAGTATTCTATCTTTTATTCAGTTTTGCTGTATTCATTTCACTGCTTTCAAGAGAGAAAGGCTGTGCCAGATGCATCTGATGTCACATATTTGGGTGCACAAAGCAGAATTCAGTATTCTTTGAGTCAACATATCCTGTTTTTTGTATGTACATAAAATATTTGGCGCCCGTTTTAAAAAATCCGCAGATTTCTGTTTTATTTTTTCAGTGCCGGCCATCGCTTATCAAAAGCTGTGGTTTACAGACTAAACTATTAAAGCCAAATAAAAACCTCTAAGCCTTATCTTAACTCTGTGCTAAAAAGAACAATTAGAAAGCAATTAGTGCGGTACAATCTAATTAAGGTTGTGGTTAAATTCTTTGTGTTTTCCTCCAGAGAGAGCCACAGATGGAGGCCTCCAGAATGAGGACTGGACACTCAACATGGAGATCTGCGATATCATAAACGAAACAGACGAGGGGTGAGCAAGAAATTAATTACCGTTAGGTTATAATTAGTTTTTATCATCATTCTATGGGATTAGTGGGGGAATTATGCCCATAAACACTTCTGGTTTAAATGCAGTCTGTAATAGAACGCTCATTGTTTCTGGCTGACGGAGGGACCCGAGCAAATAATACACTGACCAATGCTATTTTTCAGCAGACAGCACATCACACTAAACCTTTTATTTTCCAAAGGTGTCACTGACTGACAGAAAGACAAAAAAGGCATATCAATAGTGTTGTTTAAGACTCTGAAACTTTTATATTTGTATTGATTTTTAAGCTTTTAAAAATACAATTCAAACTTTTGAAGTAGTTTTGATAAAAACCTTCATTCTTATCAACCTATATCAGTTACTCTGGATTGACATGCAAAAAAAAAAGATTCAACCACAACAAAAAGCCATTCACTTATGGGAAATGTATCTTAAATATTCCCATCAGGCCTCATGCTATGTGGGGGAAAAAAGTGATGTTTGAGTGGACTACTCCGTATGAAAAAGCTTTGTGGAGACTTTCTTTTTCCTTCTTCCTTATTCTTGTCGTTCCCGTTTCTCATGCCTCCATGCAGTAGTCTTGTTGCACGGCACGCAGCTCCCTGTGGCACCGTGGAACAAAGAGCGACTCTGCAGACATGGAGGAAGACAAACCTTCATGCAGTCGTGATGTTTTGTGAGGGAGGCAGATTCTAGATCTGCTTAAAGCCTCTTTTGTTACATCTGAAAATGCATGATTCAATGAGCTGCCGAAGTGTGACAACAGATGGTGTGTGCAGAAACAAGATCAAGCAAAACAGATGTAGCAGCCAAACAAGAAGCAACTGTAACAAAGAAACAGTTAGTCTTTATATCCACAGAAGTCCCTCACATGCATAAATGTTGCGGGGAGGTTTTACTCTCCGTCCCCATCCATCTCTGTCTGTTTCAGCAGCCTCACTTAGTAGCGGTGCTGTAGCTCATGAAGGAGCTCATTAAAGCTCATTTTGTCTTCTCTGCAGTGCAGAAATGGCGAGTGTTAGGCAGAAAGCCACATTTAGCTCTTCAAGCATGGACAGCTTTGATCTTGCTTTGGGAGAGGCATTATGTAGTCACGCTGAAGGAAAAGGAAGACCCAGATGGTGTGCCTGACAGAAAGACCGGCATCTGTTTTAGTGGCACAGATAAGACTTGATGCTGACAAAGTCACTGATGTTATGCTTCTTCTCAGCAGGTGTTATGAATGCAGCTGGAACTTTTCCATTTCTTTTTCTTTTTGTCTTTAATTTTTGCTCTTTTCTCCCCAGGCCAAAAGATGCTATGCGGGCACTGAAGAAGAGACTGAGTGGTAACAAGAACTTCAGAGAGATTATGCTGGCACTCACGGTACAATTTAATAATTCAGCTGCAATTGAGCACACCAAATATTTCAGTAGGTATTATGTAACAAATATCTTGGATCCCCAGCAAAGAGGAAGCCACTTCTCTAATTTTGTTTACAGGAGCCATTTCCTCTGTGCTGTGGTCCTCTACATGTCAGATAGCTCTGCTTTTTTTAAAAGACATTCTTTCGCTACTCCATTTACCTAATAAGGAACATGAGACCTTTTCATAGCTTTTGAAATCATCATTTTCAGTTTGAAGTAGGTATGAAAGACCTTGAGGAACAGCAAAGCTAAAACCTCAACCCAAAACAGACATAGTTATAAACAAGCACACTAGCAACGTCAGACTGCAAAGCAAAGTTAGTGAAGAATGCCGGGCTTCTCAGTAGCCCACATAACCTCTACAGGGCCATTGATGTCAGCAATTTTTAAAATCTGCTGGGTATGTCTGTGTAATTATCTCCCTCTGCAGGTTTTGGAGACATGCGTGAAAAACTGTGGACACAGGTTTCACATCCAAGTGGCCAACAGAGATTTTATCGATGGCGTTCTTGTCAAAATCATCTCCCCCAAAAACAATCCTCCCACTATCGTTCAGGACAAAGTGCTGTCTCTCATACAGGTGAGGGAGCTTTCTTTTTAGTCGTTTTCACAGCTTTTTTTTAACTTTATCTTTTTAGTATATATCTCTTATTTAATACTAAGTTCCTGAGAAGTTTTTCTCTTTTATCTCCTCAAAATTGTGTGAATAGCAAAATAGGTCAGGCAGGTGCTTCACGCCTCACGTCCCAGCTGTTTGACAGACTTGAGCTACTTGTGTTAACCTGTGGTCTCCTAAGCCAACAGATGGAGTTCAGTGTGTTGCTTTGTGCTTTCTTTTAAATATTTATGAGCATTTATAGAGAAAAGCCAGATGGAGATTCCTCATGTTGAGAGTTCACAGGTTTAACAGTAGTGGAGGGAGTGCTTTTGTTCTTTTTTGCTTTACTCCTGGGTTTTAATTATTTTTCTTCTTTTTTTGTGGTTATCAACAACAGTATGTGATATAGGCCTGATTTCTTTCGATGTTTTATGACAGTCCTGGGCCGATGCCTTCAGGAGTAGTCCTGATTTAACTGGAGTGGTCCATATTTATGAGGAACTGAAGAGGAAGGGCATTGAGTTTCCCATGGCAGACCTGGATGCATTGTCTCCCATTCACACACCGCAGAGAGTAAGTTGAAATAAATGTTGACCTGGTATTAATAGTACTATACACTCAAGGTGTTCTTATAGATGTTTCTTGAAACCACTGCAGGGTACACCAGAAGTGGACCCAGCCACGATGAAGTACATCGCTCCTGCCTCAGCTGTCACCGGGCCTCCAAATCCAGCCCCACCCGCTCCAGCAGCCACACAGACCGCTGCTGTTCCCGGCCCCATCACAGCCACCCCCGAACAGGTGAGGCACACTGCACGCACCGCCATCAAAGCAGGGACCTGAAACGCATCATGACCAAACCTGGTGTGCTTTCAGATTGCCCGGCTGCGGAGTGAGCTGGACGTCGTGAGAGGAAACATTAAAGTCATGTCAGAGATGCTCACTGAGATGGTCCCTGGTCAAGAAGATGCCTCCGACCTGGAACTGCTTCAGGTTTGACTAAATGCTTCACAAAAGCACATTTAACGGTTTCTTGCTTTCTGTTACACATGACCTTGATTTGATAAAAGTATAAATGTATTCATTTAGTTATGTGATTGCAAAAATTTGGAAATGTCAAGGCAAACTGATTAGATTCTTTCGTTCTGTGTTTATGTGAAGGAAAGATCAAACAAGAAATATACATATACAACTTGAACAAAATTCTGAATATGTGCTCATGCAAAGGGCTCTTCTTTATGTATCTCCCCACCTAATTCTTGCAGCCGAACGCTTTCCAGCATGGCAGCACAGCTGTGAAGTGTTGTAGCTCTGTGAGACCACTAGGGGGAGTGACATGTCAAGCTTTCTTGGCCACCGCTTATAAATAGTGGTGAGACAACGAGGGTGTGATTAAAATCCCTTGAACTGGCAATCAACCAGTGTTACAGGAACCCATGTAGCGTTTAATCTCCTCTGGCCAAATCCACTCAGGTATTTGTGTCACCCCAAGGATCTGGCTTGGTGCTGCAGGACCAGTGCCAGTTGTAATGGTTATGGGGAGCCTTTTCATGACTTGTATCTATTTCCAGCTGCTTCATAATAAGCTTAAACATAATGAGCTTGAGCAGACACTTTAGCTTTCTGATTCACCGGTTTGTTGTCCATCTTATTTTCTGAGATGTTTTCTAGATAGTTGATGAGACAGTGTTATATCTATGGAGGACTTCTTGAGTAATAAGTACACACAATGTGTTTGGTTGTTTGCCTGCTTTTATATATCTTTTTAAACAGCTGTCTTTGAACTTTGCATCAAACTGTTGACCTTCCTGTGTCTCCAGGAGCTGAACAGAACATGCAGGGCGATGCAGCACAGAGTTGTTGAGCTCATTTCTCGTGTTTCTAATGAGGAAGTGACGGAGGAGCTGCTTCACGTCAACGATGACCTGAACAATATTTTCCTTCGTTATGAGAGGTGCGCTCAAATGGTCACATACTTTCGTTCAGGTGGTGAATTAAAAAAAAAAGGCTTTACAGATAAATGCCAAACCTGTCTTTATTATACCCGCTGTAAGTAGATGGAATAATAAAATTTTGAGCAAATCACAAGTTCAAGCACTGCAATAAACAATTCTGTGGTTCAAAGCTGCTCAAATGTATTTTTAATTTGTTTTTTGAAGATAAAAGATGTGTATACACAGGATTCACAGGATTTTCTGCTGTTCGCAGGTATGAGAGGTACAGGTCGGGCAGAGCTGCACAGAACAATGGGGTAAGTACCATCAAAAGGGGTGTTGCATGCAGAAAACACAAACCAAACATCACAGTATTCTCTTTGGATAGCGTTTTAAGTTTATTTTAAAGTTTTTTTATAAGAGATCCTTTGTTACACGTTAATAAAACCATTATGTGCAGCATGTTGTTGAGCATTTAGGTTTTTTTGAGTGATGCCTTAAATTTAGTTTATGCCTGTTTACGATCCAAATCAAAATTCACTAGTAACAGCAGTTTTCGATAAACAACGATCCCAACATAAAGATGTACTGTTTGTGGAGAACATCTTAAGCTTTGTAAAACAGGATGTTGGAAACTTTAGATATGCTATAGAAAGTGTATTTAAGCCAGAAGGCCGGGACATCTCTCAGTAAGCCCACATAGCGTTTTATTGATCTGTCTGTTTGCTCTGTCTGTTTGTATTGTGATTAGCTGACGGAGGCAAGTATGAATCTTCTATTTCAGCCACTGTGTTTGAATAAACAGAGTGACGAATATTGACCTGTCTGCTATATAGAGTTAGACATGTCAATATGAGGTCAACTCATGTCGTGAAACAAGATATTTAGTGTTCTTCTCTCCTCTTTTATCCTGCCCTTAGTATTGTTCCTATTTATAGTTCCAGTATAAAAACTCTGATCGTAACCTTTTTTATTCCTGTAGAATATGTGTATGTTTCTTTTTTCAGCCTGATTTAATTTACTCTTCAGAACTTTATATACATTTCTTAGCTGCATTAGTGCATTCATTCCTCATGCAAAACCTCTAAACCATTTCGTAATGCCTCCATGTTATAATAAATTCTCAGATGTTAACTGAAACCACAGAGGATAACCTAATAGACCTGGGCCCAGGCTCCCCTGCTGTGGTCACCCCCAGGGTTGCATCCAGCCCTGCAGCCAGTTCTCCTGTAGGGGCCTTAGCCTCCCCTGCTCACAGCTCTGCTACAGCCTCCCTATCCACTGCATTGGCCAGCCTTGGTAAGAACAAAAATGGTTGGATCTGTTTCAACATCTTAAAAAGTTTCGTACCAACTACCAGTATGCTCTGCCCAATCTCAGGTCATTTAATATCAATCAATATATATCAGTCAACTTTGATCACAATTTGCCCTTTTCTCCTTTTTGATGCCTGATTTCTGCTCCAGATGTAGGTTCAGACAGTGTGAGCGGCACCCTGTCGTCTCTACCCAGCCACAACAGGGATGACTTTGACATGTTTGCCCAGACAAGGAGCAGCTCTCTGGCTGAGCAACGTAAAAAGTAGGTCTTTTCCTTCTTGGGGCATCCCAGATCCTCTCATGGTATTATTCAATGTTTGTTTTATTTGATTTAAATATGAATAACCACTCTTAATATTTAAACACAAACCCAATCAGGGACACCCTCACTCTTTGTTTCATGATGTTCACCATTCTTTTTTAAATAACACTATCATAGTTTCCTTATGATGTGTGTTCTACCCTCTGGTCTTAATTAATCTTTGTTGAACAAAAGTTTCTCAAACACCCTGTAGAATGTTAAAATTACCAGCTGGATGTTATTTCCTTTTGCAGGGTTGAAAATAAGGAGGGTACTTTGATGTATTTAAGCACAAACAAGTTCATGTTTTATGTAACGAAGTTGGTAGATGTTAAGGGTATGTATTTGGTTTTAATGCAGTGTTAAATATGAAGACCCACAAGCTCTCGGCGGCCTGGCTTCAGCTTTGGATGTTAGACAACAGAACACTGGAGGGGTGAGTACATTGATGCTTTCAGTTTAAAGTAGTTTTTGATGTAAGGATTTAGGTATCTGTGTGTTTTTTGGATAAAGAGCCTCTTTATACGAGTCTGTCAAACTCTTGGTCACTCGTGATGCTTTGTTATGCTGTATCTTCTAAAGGGACAGCTAACAGAGGGTGGAGCTTTTGTGTTACGACGTCAACTTGACCAAGGCATTGTTTTGGGGGTTGATTTGGTAATAGACATGGAGAATAATGTAAAGCAAGAAAATGTACAAAATGTCTAACTTTATCGCTTTTTGAAAAAGAAGACATTGACTGCTGTATACTCTGCAAACTCTTCAATACATAGACAAGAATTCAAGGGGGGAAAATCAGTCATTTCTGCAAGCTTATCAATCTGAACACACGTCCTATCACTGAACACGCAAACCATATAAAGTGTGAACCGCCTCACAAACACTATGACGTTTTAGTGACTCCACCGGATTTATTTCCTCTTTAGAATTTTTACATCTACAAAATTTATTTTTCTCTTTTTCCTTTGTCCTTATCTTTGATTTTATGGAATGATCTTTCATCATTTCTCATGCTCTGTTAAATTTCTTTTTTCAATGATGGACATCTCTTGCACATTTGACTTTTCCTCTGTCTTCTTTCTCTGCACTGTGTGCTATGCTGTGGTGGGGCCTTTCTTCTCTTGTGTAAGGTGTTATTCTGTTGTTGATTCAGCTGAGGGTAAAAGGGGATGATAACCCAGCAGATCAGGAGCTGCCCATAGACAGCTGGCTTATTACCCAAGGAATGGTGAGGACTCTACCCACAGTGTGTCCTCCTACCCCTCCCTTATGTTGACCATCATGTCCTCTGGCTTCAGCCATCATCCTCTTGAGCTGCTTTTTATACGTTACCTCATCTCACCTCTATGTTCCAGGATCCTTTAACAATCCCATGAACGTACACTTCATTTTTAGTTTAGATTATGTACTTTGATCTTGGGCAATATGATGATGTCTTCAGTAATTTTGCAGAATTTTTGTTTGTTAGAAACATGTTCTCGATGGCAGATTCGATGAAAAGAAAAATGAATCTCTTGGTCATTTTTCCAAAGTGTTTTCAGCTTCATACTTAAGTTCCATTTTAGGGGTGAACGCCCACTTTGCCATCTGGGTATATTCATATTGCCCATATCGATTGTTCACTTTTGGAGTTCGAAATTAACGTTTTTCTCATATGATTGCTCACTTTTTTAAATAACCCATTTGTGGATCTAATAATAAGCCTGAGGGGCCACAAGAAACTTAGATCAGCTCCTTACTCTCTTTAGCAAAATCCCCTAAAGCAGGGGATTGGCAACACTCCTGCTATGCAGCAAAGTCAAATCAATTACAAATAATCTGGTTCTGAAATGTAACTAGTTGTATCTATATATATTGGAGACACTTTCTAATTATTCAACATTATATTATAATGGTCCAAAGGCAACATATCAGTGCAGCTTCTTAATCAGAGGAGACCTTTCTTGCTTATCAGGGTGATTTTCACAGACTTGTCTCTCCAATGTATAGAAAAGAACAAATAAAACTCTGGTATTGCCTGTTGGCCCAACAGGCAACAGGGACACCTGTCCCTAAAAACATATCTGGAGCATTTAAGAATATCAGATCTAACAAAGGAGACCTTTGATATGTTGTTTTTGTACTATTTGTTTAAGTATTGACAAAATGATTGAACAAAAAAATTAATGAATTGCTGCAGTCTGGTGAATTTTAACAGCTATTTGTGGCTCTTATGGACAACATTTGCAAATGTTGACATCCCATACTAACCTGAAATATATTAACCAACTAACGCATAAAATGATGGATGTAATATTTCTAAGTGTGATGATGCATATGTTGCATATGCTTTGTTGTGTGTTATGACACTGAACTTAAAATAATAGTCTGTGTCGGTTTGGAACCACTGTGGTTTGATCCACTTGCAGAAACTCGACAGGAAAAATAGAATCTTTTGAAGACAGAAATACTTCTTCATTGAAGAAGAACAAAAATCGGTGCTCAAAGGAAAACAAAGCGAAACAGAGATTTTGAAAAAAAAAAGAAAGTACAACCAAAATTCACTGCAAAAACAGAGAAGAAAAGTAATAACCTAAATTCACTGTTACACTGGAAAAAGTTGCAACAAAAAATCCCTACCCAGCAGGCGAAGGGAAAAATGTTCTAATCTCTGCTGTGCAGGGCACTGGAGAAAACTCTTAAAAGAAAACGGCAGTCTGAAAATATCACGAATGAAAGACGTTATCAAAAACTGCTTAGAAGAGCACACAAGAGATTTTCCAAAAGACAAAAGCTCAGACTAGAGGAATCTGAATTATCTGGCCCTGGAAACATGGACCTGGCAAGCTTAAGTAGCAAAGGTGAGATGGGCTTTAAGTGTGTGCCAAATGAGGCCACGCCCACCTGGATACCTTCAGGGGCAGACTAACAACTGAACAGAAAACCCAAAAGAGTAGGAACATAACAGTGTCATTTCTTTGAGTTAAGAAGGGGACCGACATCTTTTTTGCTCTTTTCAACAACATTTTCTTTCCTGCTCCCAAACCGCATGATTTCTTTTTTCCTACTTGTGAAACAGCAGTTACTTCCCCCTTTGCTTCGACCTACCTTTTGACGTGCTGTCCCACTGCATAAACTGATGCCCAGCGGAAACCCCACCTATGTTTTTATAGAGTGGAAAACAGGGCCACAGGAAAACGCGTATTGTTCTCTGTAATTAACCGATACCAAGACGAGATCACGCATAAACTCTGGCCTGATTTCAGCGAGGCCTAGTTTTGATGTTAACAGAAAGCGCACTAGGAACCTACTCTCTTTCTACTCTTAATAATAGTTAGGCAGAAGTTCCTAGTGACGAGCAGTGCAGCACACGCCCCACTGTTATAGTTCCGTCCTCACACGTAAGGAAACAGAAACACTCCATCCAGTCTGACATGGCCTCCATCCACGCAGTCACCGCACGCCATGCAGCGGCGCTCTTGTTTTGGTGCGTCTTGTCTTTCCGTTTTCCAGGTTTGCGTTTGCCTTTGGATTGCAATGCCTTTTGATGGTCCCAGTGCTCTCAGCTTTTCCCGTGTAATTAATCTCTTAATCAGGTTCAAGCAATTTAATAATTAACTAATGATGCGGAAATATTATCTTGGCTGCATGACATTAGTCGGCAGCTGCTAAACGCCAAGCGCTGCGGAACTAATGCGAACAATACACAAACTGAGAGCTCCTGTTCTCACATAGTACTGCTGAGGCAAGAGTGTGTTTCTATACATATATATATATATATTTTGTTTTGTTTTCTTTTACTGTTTTTTATCATTTTTGTGTCTGAGCTTTCAGTGATTCTTCTTTTTGTGTGTGTGTGTGTGTGTGTGTCTGTGTGGGTGGGTGTGTGCGTGTGCGTTACATCTTTGTTTTTGTTGTGGGGGTTGCTTTTCATATTGTCGTGTGGCTTGGGTGCCCCCGGTTTTGTCCATGGCTTTGCTTCATAGATCCCCGTATCGCAGTCCTCTGTCATGGATGACATAGAGGAGTGGCTCTGTGCTGATGTGGTGAGACTTTTTTATACCTTGAGTTCTATCTGTTTGTTCCTCTTTCTCTCTTTCCTCCATTTTTTTCTTTCTTCCTTGATAAAAACATCTCATCCATCGTTTACATGTAGCTGCACACATATAACTTTGGTTTCATTAAACTTCAAAATCTTTCTCTTCACCAATCTCTTAATTAATCCCATAATGACAGACATAACGGGGTGTCATGAGGACCCACTTAAAAATGCTAACACAATGCTAATGGTAACAGAGTGAGAACAGCTGCTGTGATCTTTATCATGTGCATGTGGTAGGTATGGAGGAACCTAAGAGGGTTACTGTTTTGAAAAGCGTGGGAGAGTTCATGACTGTTCTGACAGTCCTTTGTGAGCCACTCTGTGTTATTTTTGCCTCAGTGTGAACTTTACATGAAGTTGTGTTACCACCTGTTACAGCAATTCTGTCAGCTTGTGGTGTTACTTACTTTACACTAAAATTTACCTCTGTGTTTTAAAAATCTGCATTTAAGTTCTCTTGTAATATCCGGCCAATATTAGTTCTTGTTTTTTATTTTCCCTAGAAAGGGGACGGCCCAGAAGAAGGGGTGACCAGTGAAGGTATAGACACTGATTACAGTCAAGACAAACACGTGTGTGTAACGTATTTGCATGTTTTGTGCAAATCATCAGCTTTCAAAATTCTTATTTCTTTTTTCAGAGTTTGATAAGTTTCTAGAAGATCGGGCCAAGGCGGCAGACTCTCTGCCATCTCCTCCAGGAACCACCCCGGCTCACCCAGCCCGTGCCCCCAGTGGTTCCCACAAGAAGGCAGGATGGACAGAGGATGCCCTCTTTGCCTTGTAGTGTTCTCAGAGAGCCTACATCTCAAACAGCCTCGGTCCTCCCCAAAACTGGTCCCCTTCAGAAGAATCCTCCTGGTCCCATTTCATCGCTGACCGGAAGTGATGTAGCAAGTGATCTGCACTTCCTTGTTGTTATCTTGCCAGTATTGCTAAAACCATGGTTGGTTAAAGTTGTTTACTACGCACTCAGCTGTGTTGCGTTATAAGTGGATGTATTAATCTGTTCATGTGGGATGTACTACTTGCAGCCTTGCAGCTCATTTATATCACTCAAACAAATGACGACAACCAAACTTGTCTCATGTGGTTTAAGAGTGTGATGGAATACTTTGCGATTAATGGGAAATGTTCCTGCTGGTTAATGCATTGAATTAATATGAAAGCACATGGTTAAAATAGCCTAGTATTTTACTGCATTCAGCTAATGCTTATTTATGCATTTATTGTTCTAATGGTTAGAGCTGTACTATGTACTAGAGCTGAGGTTATATTTGACCCAAGCATTTGTTTTTTATCTTTGCAAATAGTCAATTTAATACTTCTGCATTAGCTTATATAGACTTTTGACGAAAGCTCTGGAAAGGAAACGAAGACGATTACAGGGCTGTGGATAATCACCTGGAATGTTGATAACTTATGTAATTCCGACATTTCTCTAACCAAAGAGAATTCTAAAAAAGGGGAAAAAAACTTAATAGGTTGAAAATGTGATGGGCATTTTAACCAGAAAAGTTAAATGGAAATTTTCTCATCAGACTATTTAGTCTGATGAGAAATATGAATAGATAAGCTAAAACAAATTAAGTGACAAGAGTTTGAACAATTACAAACACTTTTTAGCCATTCCAAAGAATTTGTAGGCTTTAATGACCAACTATTTGATTTAAGTAATGGTAACATTTTTGTGTTACAAACTTTACTTACTTATGAACACTTTCCTTCCCCTCTTATAACATCTTCTGTGCACTTTGAGGCAAAAACAAATCTGTAATTTGTCCTTTTTCATTTGAAGATTGATGCTATTTTTCTGGGGAATGGGAAGCGATGATGAGAATGAATTCATTTTGCACATAGCCTTTATAACTGTGTAACTTGTTTTGTATGGATCGCCATGCTTGTAAATGTAGAAACCTTAGAGAAATATTAGAAAGTCCATAAATGAGATGACCAGAAATAAGATTACAATGACCAGTATGAAAACCACTGGCATTACAACCAACTAAAGGGCAAATCATACAGCTACAGAGATGTTCTCTAGTACATGATAAATTCACATACTTAATGCTACGTAAGCGATATACCTCAAAATATGAGTTGTAGCTTCTGTATGTGGTTGAAAATATATTGGCTTGAAACACAATCATAAGTAGGGAGAAGTTTGTTATATTTTCCTGCCCAACTTTATTTGTATTTTTAGTTTATCTTGCGCTACTCATCGTTTTGTTGTTGATTGCGGTCCAAAACACATTTTTTTTCACACACTTTCACTTTGTTGATTCATTCATTCTTATCAGAGCTGCTGGTAATCAAATCTGTGACTGTCTGATTTAAGCAAAGCAACTGAATGCTTATTGCATTCGTTTTTAGACAGGAATCCAGTATTCGTCCCAGCATTTCTCTGTTCATTTTGAAATGATTCAGCTCTAAAGATTTATGTCCATTTAACACAAAAGGCCTTTGTAATTAGGCAATCCATTTTAGTTTTCAGGTGAGGTGTTAAATCCCTGTCAGGCTTTAGATATGCCGAATACACAGTGTTCAGAATGGACCTTCCATTAGAGGAAATTATTTGTTATTTTTGTTAACATGAATGCAACAATAACATTAAAAACATATTTCTGTTTTTGTAATCGTGATTTTAATACATATTTAACTACATTTTAGTTAAAAGATATTATTATTGAGCTTTACTTTTTTCATTTTGTGTCATTATGTATGGTTATAGTTATGTAATATGTCTGCCAGTTCATTCAGATTCACCTTAGTCTATTTTTTTCTTTTTAAAAACTCTTAACATGCAGGTTAAACAATGTCTAAAGCTGTTAGCAGAGACCTCTGTATTTTTTTAAACTTGTTTTCATGAAGACTGCGAAATGTATTCTCTTAATTATGGCCATCTGAAGGCGGCTACCAAAATGTCTGATATTGACGAGACAGTACTGTCAGAGTTTGAACATTGAACGTGAGTTTGTATTCTTCTTGTGGGCATTCTGTCTGTTAGGTTGTAAGTTCTGCTGCCATTCAGATTTGTATTTGACCTTATGCACCTGTGTAACTGCTCAATTAAACACTAGCAATGTGTGACCTCTACCTCACAGCTTTGTTTTGTTATTGTACAGTTAAATGTTGTGTGACACTCTTGCTTCTTTATGCACAAGCTGATGCAACCCAGGCTTAATCTTGCTCTGTGCTGGCCATTCATTGTCACATAAAACCATCACCTCCTACCATGGTATGTTTTTTATGGATAGCTCATCTATTTTACATCCACAGATCAACACCCATATATTGTAAACAAATCTTTTGCATTGATTTACAAAACATGACTGTTTCATTTTTCATGTATTTTACTATTTCATGCTTCTATCATGTGGATGTGGAGCATTATTTTTCATTTATATGAATTCAAGAGGATACTTGAATGTTACATCGACATGATATCCATGCATCCCAATGCCAGCAAAAAGGTAGCCGGTGTTATTTCAACCTGCTACTGACACACCAACTTTGAACTGCTTCATTAGGTCATTGACCTACTTCTCCAAGCCATTGTGCAGGTCCACTTTTGTGCTAATCAATTTTCCTCCCCATCAAAGTGATATATTATGCTCTTTAGGGGGTATGAACAGCTTTTATTTTTATCTAAAAATCCCATGGCTAATATTTGGAAACATATTTAATATTTATTAATAGTCAAATTGTATTAAACTTTTTTCCCTTCGTCTTAGTGCCTTAAGATTTCAATTACAGTTAATTTAGTAACATCTTGCATTCTTTTAAACAAGAAAAGCCCGCCACCACCGATTTATTTCACCGTTACTGTCTCTGCTTTTGCAGGAGAGAAGCACATGATGTAATGTAAACCACAGAGCTGTGACGTCACATCACCCCACTCAGTTTCTGAGCCTCCCATTGGTCAATTTTGCTGGTTCTACAAGAGAAGCCGCTAAGTGGAGTCAGACAAACTTGACTGTCAAGTAGTGCATGCCCACGCAGCAATGATTGGCTGTTGGGGGCAAGCCCACAATAAACACATCAAGCTGTTTCCCTCAAATTATTCATTTAGGTTATGATTTGTGTTGAAATAGAATAGGCTGTCCAGGGTTGAAAATATAAATAATGTAACATACGTAAGCGTTAGATTTTGTGTATTTATATTTATACATAAAGTCAATAGTTTGAAATATTTTACAAATGCATTTTTCTTCATGCTTATTCATACACACTGTTTATAATCATAGTTATTCATTATTTCATCATTTAGAAAAATGAATGTATATGTATATTAAAAAGCGATAACCTCCACTCAACAACCAAAACAACACTGTAACAAGAGAACGTGTGTGAATCCAGTCCAGCGTTCGTGATTGGCTGTTGCTCCTGTCAGTCATTGTGGGTTGAACAGGTTCTTCCTTCTACCGCCGTAAGCACGTTAGTGCTGAATGAGCCTCAGTGTTTGGCTTGGTTTGACAAGTAACCGGAGGCGATTATGGGGTTTAGTTAGATGGCACATCGTTAAATAGTTGGAGTTAATCTTGCATATATTTAAGACAAAATTGAATTACGAATCCTTGACAAATGTAGGGACGTGGGGAGTAACCATTTTTCACTTGGAGATCCAGCAGCAAGTCACGTCTCTACAAGAAAACCAGACATAGTAAAGATGAATCGCTTGTCTTTTGACGATCCCTCGTTGGATAACTTGGATCCAACGTTGTCGCTTAATGATCCTAGCGACATAGACACGGCTCTTTTGAGCGATATTGATGGTAAGAAAATTTAACTGAGGCTTGTTTGTGAAACAACCAGCTTTAACGCCGCTTGCATCTCTCTCCTGCATGGCATTTGCTTCAACTTACAGTTGTGTATGTGTTTTATAGCCTGAAACATAAAAAACTGTTCAATATCCAATTTATAGATTTTAATAGCTCACAGCTAATTTACCTTTAATAGACTTGGTAATATGAGCTATTTAAAGCGATTGTGTTTAGAAGTTAACTAAGCTGATAGATCGGTGTTGTTATTTTATTGCATAGATACTCTGATATGATTTAATATTAACAATATCCTGTGACTGGCCCTCTTACAATCACTGTGTGTGGTAATTAAAGAGTTTGTTAGCTAAACTAGTGTGTGAGGCTAACGTGTTTCTAAACGCTCGTGAGCACGCCCCGCCCCCCACATGTGGGGGTTACTGTAGTTCATTCCTCTTTGGTGGGTTCAGTTGCCGCAATTGACCGGATTGTCAAATTGTACCCATTTCTCATAGACTGTGTAACATTTTTTTTTTTATTGTCGCTTGAGCTAGTCATGTCTTTCTTATGTGCAACTGTTTTTTATGCAAACGCCATGCTTATCAATATTCTTAAAAAAAGAGAGATAGAAAAATAAAAACGTTGTTTTTGTTATGTTGACAGGACTGGTGCTGTTTTTGTTTTTTATTCTAGTAATATAAAGAGTAATGACATACCATCCATTATGTCTTCGTGTGAGATGTTCCTGCAATTGCTAGTATGTGTTTTATTATTTTGGCCAGCGTGTAAAGTGATAAGGTGGACTGTGCAAATAGTATTTGCCTATGCATGGCCCACGACCGTGCACCCCAAATTTGACCCACGGTAACCTTCGGTTACTCTGCTCGATAGTAACCCCTCGAAGCAAGACAGCGCTCCCTCTGGTTCCTGTCTTGGGCTGATCACGTAGCACGTCAGAGAGACGCGCTCTGATTGGTCCGGGACGATCACCTCATCCACAACACTGGTGTACAAACTCAGTGTGCTGCGTTTCACTGCAGACATATTTTACAGTCAGTCACCCACTTTTTTTTTTCCAAGTCTAGTGGTCTTATCGGGTCCGTGCAACACAATTTCCCAAAGTGCAAACTTAAACTTTGACCCATTTAAACCAGCACCATGTTATTTTAAATACATTTATCATCAATTGGAAAGTATCTCTGGGGAGATTTCTGAGGCAGTTTATAAATAGTGGTAATCTATTAGATTTAAACCATCCAGAACTTAGTTTTTGTAAAAGAATAATAGAAAAACCATCATTAACATAAACATTGGTTTTAGTTTAATTTTTCACTTTTCTGCTAAAGAAGCTGCATTTACAAAACTTAACTAGAAAAAAGGATTAAGTATAGTGCTTTGTAAGGAGTTTTAAAAATGCCTGGTGTTTTTGTGATTGAATATTATTACAAACAAAACAGTTTATGGGATTTGAATGAATTCTTTGAGATTTATATCTAGGTTGTTACTGTCTTGCTTGTCTTGCATAGAACCATGAAAACAAATCTACATGCATTAAAGCAAAAACAGCTTATGTTTACAGTAGTTATCATAGATGATCACTACCTGTTGAACCAAATGTGGAAATAAGAATAATTCTCCTTATTTTACCGGGGCATCATCTGCATCTATAAACATTAAAAGTTTTTTTGAACTGGAGCTTGGCATTGGCATCATCCTTTTGGTGGATAAAGGCACACTGCAGTCAAATCTTTGTTTTACATAATCTTCTTCTTTAATGCTATTTGAATCTTACTTTAGAATATTCTGATCATTGTACTGGTAAATTGCTTTTTTCATGACTTTCCTCATGGTTCTGATTTTTGTGTGTTTTTTTTAGACATGCTTCAGCTCATCAACAACCAGGACATGGAGTTTGGAGGACTCTTTGATGCCCACCCCTATTCAGGGGGAGTTCCAGCACAAGAGATTCCTGATTTGTCCCAGACCATCGCTTTAGCATCCCCTCCAACCACCACAACCACACCAGTATCCTCATCCACTTCTTCCATCCTAAGCAGCAACCCCCACCTGGATGCTCTCCTGGGCCCTCCCATTACCAGAAGCTCCTCCACCCCAGACAAGACCTTCCAGTCTCCCACCTTCCAGCAGTCTCCTCTGTCCCAAGTTCCCAACGGGACTGAGAGGCAGCAGCCAGCCTCCCCGCAACAAACACAAAGCCTCCAGCAGCCCCAGCCGGTCCTCAGCCCGCCTGCCTCCGCTCAGGCAGCTTCTCCCCATGGCTCTCCAGGACCAAATCCAACATTCAGCTCTACAACACAGGTGCTCTTCACCTCTCATGCTCCGCAGACTCCGCCACAGCCCCCCCAGGCCCAGACCCAACCCCAACCCCAACCCCAGACACAGGTCCAGCCCCAGGTCCAGACACAGACCCAACCCCAGATACAGGTCCAGACACAGGTCCAGACCCAACCCCAACCCCAGGCCCAGGTCCAGCCCCAGCCCCAGGCCCAGGTCCAGCTCCAGCCCCAGCCCCAGCCCCAGCCCCAGCCCCAGCCCCAGGCCCAAAGCAACTTCACCAGCCAAAGTAGCTTCACAGGTAAGCCCTCTTTTTGGCTAATGAACATGGCTGTAGGTGGTTATTCTGGTCTTGTATTCAAATATAAATGTTTAACACTTGAAAGATCCAAGAATATTTTATTATAAATGATAAATGGTGGAAAAAAAGTTAAATAAAGGGAAAATATCAGCACTCTGATTAGCGGCCATTTCTTTGCAAGCGTGACTGGATCAACATCACGCACTGCGAGCTGAATGTGGGAGTCCTCGCAGCCGCCCTGTCCCCTTCAGCTCATGCGCTTGCATATGAAAGTGTTATTTTCAAGGCTTGGATTTTGGATACAACGCTGGAAACTGCTATTCTGTTGCTCGGCAATAATTTGTTGCTTGATGCTTAGAGACAGAACAGAACAGAACAGAGCTCAGTTGTTGTCCACCGGGCAACTCCCTTTCATCCCCGGTTACTACGGACAGCCGGTCCAGCAGAGCAGCTGCCGCCACTTTGGCCGTGTTAGCTCAAGTTATTGGTAGCTTAACGTCAATGTATTCTCTTAGAAAAACACCATGTTGGTAATTCATAATGTTAAGTGTATTTGTTTTAAAAGTGTGTAAGATTTACTTCTCCAATTTTAAATGAGCCATCAGGTTAGAACGTTTATTTAGGATGTCATTTTGAAACGTGAAACTTTAAAATGTTTCTTTTAATTGTCTTCAGTTGGACGCGACCACATGCTCATTTTGAGTCTTTATAGCACGGTGACGTCTAAAAACAAGCCTTAGAGTGGAGCTCTGATTGGCCAGAAGGGATCACCTCACACACAAAGCGGTTTCAACAGAAAGTCCATCTGCTGGCTGTCAGTCAGCCACATTTGCTCATGGAGAACTCCGGGGTCAAACCAGGGTGTTTGTCAGACTAATTTGACTCCAAATATCTTGGACATCATTTTTGTAACACATAAGTTTGAAATCTCTTTCACATTTTAGACCACAGTGCCTTAAAGCTGACATTATCTAAAATGCCGTCACAAATGTTGGTGTTTGCTACTGGAACCTGTGCTTGATATGTTTGATAAATGTTTTTCTTCTATCGTTTCCCATTTTTCAGCGTAGGGTTTTATTATAGTCCAGTTATTAATGTGGTGAAGTGCTGGAAAATCTTGAATATTCATTTGGAAAGTCCCTGAATCGTAACTGATGTCATCGATTTGTCATTTTTGGCTGGTGTCCTGTAGCGATTGCAGAGATTGTGCCCTGCAAGGTGGCACCAGGTCATTCAACCTCAGCTGATCCCTGAGCCAAGTTGCGATTGAATACCTTTTGCTCAACTTTGCTGGAGTTTGTGAGTTCAGTTGAGCTGCCCTCTCTCCACAAGACATGCTGCTGCTTCTGAACTGGAGATGCACCACGTAGGCAGCCTGTAGTTTTCCACATATGCATAACCGTGTGCTCAGACCGGAGAGTTTACCTAAGATTTTCTGACCTCGTAAATTCTCGTGAGTGCCGATGATAACTCAGTGGTTGGGATTAGTGAAAGAAGTAGTAAATGACTCATTTCATTTATCTTGGACACCATGAGTTTTATCATTACGTGAGAAAGCCGACTGATAACCCGGTTGGATTTTATAACAAATACAACATGACACAGTGTTGTTATCAGATGGTTTTAAAGAGATAACGGGTCACCTAGTTGCCCATAAATCCATTAAGAGAAGTTGTTACAGCTTCAGATCCCCAGAGACATACTGGCTTAAAGATGAGGTTTTTTTCCATATAGCTTAGCATGGCCTTTAACCTACTTACCGATCATTCACCTCTTCCGGACCCTTTTAATAACTGAAATAACTTGTTTTTAGTACACTCTATTAGTTGGTATATATTTTCTTTTTTCATTAAAAAATCTCTTAAAATCAAGATTGGTTAGGTAAAAAAAAAAAACTGAGTGTAGTGTAATTGTCATAGAGTAATACTCAGATCTCCGTCCCCTTCTCTCCAGCCACCAGTCCCAGCAGCGTGAGCACATCTGGCGCACCTTCGCCTCCGAGCATCCAGCCAGTGGCCATTCACACTCAGCTCCACGGGCTGACCACCACCTCTGCTATCCTGGCTACATCGTCCAGCCCTCCAGTCCAGAGCATCGCACCTCACGTCCAGCAAGTACCTGTAAGTGTGGGACTCGGGTCCGCGGCTCGCGTGTGAATACGGGCTCCGCCACCACGATCTGGAGAAACATCTGTGACTCTTTCCTCAGGTGCTGTTGCAGCCTCAGTTCATCAAGGCTGAGTCCTTGCTGCTTACTACTTTGAAACCGGACCCCTGCATGGTCACAACGGTAGCCTCTCCCACCTCCCTGGTCACCACCAGCAGCTCGGTCCAGAGCACCTCACTACAGGTGGGCACGCCTGAATTGACCGTGTTTGGAAACATGTGGCCGTGCACTTTTCGGCATTGATGGCGACAATGAACCTTTATCCGCTTGATGTAACCCTGCAGGCGTTTATGGGAGGCAGTACGATCCTGACCACGGTGCCTGTGATGGTGGATGCTGAGAAGCTGCCCATCAACCGCATCGCCATCTCTGGCAAGCCCATGGGCCAGCCACACAAGGGGGAGAAGCGCACGGCTCACAACGCCATCGAGAAACGCTATCGCTCGTCCATAAACGATAAAATAGTGGAGCTTAAAGACTTGGTGGCCGGGACCGATGCCAAGGTGGGAGATGGTCTCTTAATGTTTTCGATCATAACCTCTGAATAAAATGGACTTTTTCTGCCACTTGTTTTTGTGCTTGCTGTGATCCGCATTAACTTGATGGCTGTTATTTTTTGTTTTTTAGTTAAACAAGTCTGCAGTGTTGAGGAAAGCGATCGACTACATCCGTTACCTGCAGCAGTCTAACCAGAAACTCAAACAGGAGAACATGGCTCTTAAAATGGCTTCCCAGAAAAATAGTAAGCACGCCAGATCGTCTACATCCCTTACTCTGCAGCTGGCATTTTGCATTATGTCTCAGTTCCTGGAGTGCACTCTTTTTAGCTGACCTTTTCTGATGAGCTGCCATTATCTGACAAAACCTGAAATGGGCCTACTTAGCCTCTGTGTAAGGATGAAGCTTTCTCAGCTGGAGTGTGGTTGATTGACCCTCTGACTGCTCTCGCTGTTGTTCCTTTCTTCAGAGTCTCTCAAGGATCTGGTTGCCATGGAGGTGGATGGACCGGCAGACGTGAAAAATGAGCTGCCCACCCCCCCAGCCTCGGATGTGGGCTCCCCGACCTCTTTCTCCCACTGTGACTCAGAGCCTGATAGTCCGATGGGAGAGGACACAAAGGTATGCAGCTCCCGGTTTATCTGCCTCTCTGCTTCAAGGACAGGGCTGATTTTCTGTTTCAAATCAGAGGGGGTCCAGAATCGGCAGCTACTTCCAGCCAAAAAAACATTACACATAAAAAAACATTAAAAAAACTTGCTTAAATCATGACATAGACATCATCTCGTGACCTATAAGGTATATTTATGACTATGATGACAATTGGAGACTTTATTAGCAGAGTCTTATTTTATCTCTCTGGACTCTTATGTGGCAGCCAATCATAGGCACGCTGGACGGCTCAGCAGCAGGTGGCAGTGCCAGCGGCATGTTGGACCGCTCCCGCATGGCATTGTGTGCCTTCACCCTCCTCTTCCTCTCCCTCAACCCCCTGGCGTCTCTGCTCTGCTCGTCTGGAAGCAGCTCAGCAGGAAGCCCTGCGGACGTTTCTGCCCATCACGCAGGCAGGAACGTCCTTGGTGTGGACGTTGCAGGTAGGCGGCGGATAAACGCTGGGAGGGGGGAGGGATATCGATTCCTCCCACGGATGGTTTTCATGTGGGGAGTTGTGAGATGCGATGCTGCTTCATGCATAGACGTTCTTTTACAGTTAATTGACTCTATTTGTGTTGTCCGTAGCTGACTCCTGGGGCTGGATGGATTGGATGCTCCCTACTATTCTGGTGTGGCTGGTGAATGGTGTTCTTGTGTCGGGTGTTCTGATTCGACTGCTGGTGTACGGAGAACCTGTAACCAGACCCCACTCTGGATCCTCTGTCTTGTTCTGGAGGCACCGCAAACAGGCTGACCTGGACCTCGCAAGAGTAGGTTTTTGTTTGTAAATGTATGCATCTTAAAAAATATTAATCACATCAAATACTGATCCATCCATTCGTTCTCATGTCTTTCCCAGGGAGATTTTGCACAGGCCAGTCACAACCTGCGAACCTGTCTGAAAGCTCTGGGTCGTCCCCTGCCCACCTCCCAGCTGGACCTGGGCTGCTCCGCCCTCTGGGCCCTGCTGAGGCTGTGCCTCCAGCGCCTCTGGGTGGGCCGCTGGCTAGCCGCGAGGGCCGGAGGCCTTCGACCTGACCGCCCCCTGCAGGAGGATGTGTGCAAAAGCAGCCGGGACGCCGCCCTGGTTTACCACCGCCTGCACCAGCTCCACATGACAGGTTGTTCTTTTAGGAATCATTGGTTCTTGATTAAATAGGTTTGATAGGCACGGCTTCACTGGGCAGCGCACTGCAGACATTAAAGGACAAGCTAGATAAAGCTGATTTGGTGCATTTGTTAGATGTCAATCATTTTATGGCTTTCTGTTTTTTCAATACATACTAATCCATGCATATTTGTTTGTAGACTTCCTCATTTTGACTTTTGACTGCAATTTATGTCGAAGGCGATGATTCTGATCTTGTCTTTCGATCCTGCGTACAGGGAAGCTGAACGGGAGCCACCTGTCGGCGGCACACATGGCTCTGAGTGCAGTGAATCTAGCCGAGTGTGCCGGCTCGTGTCTGCCTGTCGCCACCTTGGCTGAAGTCTACGTTTCTGCTGCTCTACGAGTCAAAGCCAGCGTGCCAAGGGTCCTGCATTTCACGTCTGTAAGTCCCTTTAGTTTTTTTGCATGCGTCTTTCTCATGTGCACTCGTGTAGCCTTTTTGCTTTGTTAGTTCAGGGGGAGTTAGTGGAAATTCTCCTCATCGTTCCTTCAGGTGGATGTTGTAGCATATGCATAAGCCATCATTTATGTGGTTCTGAAACATGAGGTCTGTTGTTAAGCGCTGGCATCTGACTTGATCGAAGTAAACTGAACCACACTCAGACTCCGGCGTGGTCTCTGTCCCTCTTAGCGTTGCTTCCTGAGCAGTGCCCGGCAGGCATGCCTGTCATCCAGCGGCAGTGTGCCTCAGGCCATGCAATGGCTCTGCCATCCGCTCGGACACCGCTTCTTCGTGGACGGGGACTGGGCCATTCGCAGCACACCCAAAGAGAGCATCTACAGCCAGGCCGGCAACACCGGTGAGTGGATGCAGAAAGTCACTGGATTAAAGTCTAATTAAAATGGCTTCATATATCTGCGGAATACTTTAGGAATTTGCCACCAGGAACCCCCCATGCGTATTTATGCACATCGTTTTAGTTGTAATTGTCAGGTTAATGTTTTGTTTGTGCTCTTACAGTGGATCCTCTGGCCCAGGTGACCCAGGCCTTCAGAGAACACCTCCTTGAAAAGGCTCTTTACTGCGTTGCCCAGCCTCACGGAGAAAAGAGCCTCAGCCAAGGCGAGGGGTAGGAAAACCACTTCAAAATGTTTGATTCTTCTTTCCGCACTAAGCATAAATGTTTTATTGTTTTATTGATAATAAACATGTTTGTTAATCTTTAGGGAGTATGCTGATGCCTTGGAGTACCTCCAGCTGTTGGTCAGTGCTTCAGACGCGGCTGGTGCCACCTCCCAGTCCTTTGCAATTGGCTCCAGCATGGCTATTGTAACTGGTAGGTGTCTATTGGAGCTATTCTCTTTGATTAAAAACATATTATAGAGTCTCTTTATGTTGTGGTCTCCTTATTGGGAGTATCTCTGTTTTGTTTTCTTCTCACTTTTTTCCTGCAAAATTCAGAACTTGAAGTTCATTTTGATTTTCCTGAAATCAAGAAGAAGGGTTTTCTTCCTCCAACTAGTTTACTTTGTTTTTACTGATCACTGATCTGTGAAAAGGGAGTGTGTAGGGGAATGGGGGGATTCTGCCAGATTGCTTCATTTATCTTCAGCTCTGTCATATCGCTGATCCCCTTCAGAGGAGAAAAGGAAGGGAGACAGTGCAGCGATTTTAACAGCCGACTTCTTAGCGGAGCCTCGGGTTGATCACCCAGTGCTAGAAGCGTGTGTCTGTGTGGGCGTTACACGATGTGAAACCGAGTAGTCGTGTTTCATGAAACAGCCGTAAAAGTTGCTGCTCTCTCGGATTCCATGGCTGTGACTTTGCCAGCTGTTTCAGAAGTCAGAACACGGGCTGCCCGCGTTAAAGCTCGATAGATGTCAGCGGGGGATTGTTAGTCTGGTGCCTGGCCTCAAACGATTTTCTCCAACATCCAGGCTGTGACCCCCACTCCAAGTGGTGGTCCTCAGTTGCTGTGGTCATCATTAATTGGCTCCAAGGAGATGACGCTGCAGCGGAGAGACTTTATCCGACTGTGGAGCACCTGCCCCGCAGCCTGCAGAACGCAGAGTACGTCCAAAACCTGCACGCCATAACATAACCGCGGTCTGAGAATTTCAAGCCGAGTACAAACACTTTCCACCACTTTAACCTGTGTCCTTTTGCGTGTGTGTATGTGTGTGTCCCCTTCCCCTCCCCTTCTCGTTCTACCAGGAGCCTTCTGCCCAAAGCTTGTCTGAACACATTTAGGGCTGTTAGGGCTCTGCTGTCCAAGCCTGAAAACTGCCAGATGAGTCTGAGCTACATTGACAAGGCCAGCGCCCTCCTCCGAGACAGCCTCAACCTGGGCCCGCACAGCCACAGCTCCAGTTTAGACAAGGTACACACAAGCTCTCTCTGACTGAGACGAAAACGTGTCAGATGAGTTCGACCGATGTTTGTTATTTCTATAACGCAAAAAACACACATTCATGTTAGTACCTGTGAATTAAAATGTTAACACTGTACATAAGTTGTGCATAATCACTGGAACAATCACAATCACACGCACACGCACACACACCTGTTTTTTTTTTTTGTTCTTGCACGCCCCACACGTTTTTAGACAGATTCCCCTGCAGCCTCTCCTCTCTGTGATGCTGCAGTGTCCTTCCCTGTGGCATTCAGCATTCAGCAGATGGTAATGCTGGTGGATAGGTAGCTCACCGTGTGTGTGTGTGTGTCTGTCTGTCTGAGTGTGTGTGTGTGTGTGTTGTTTACGGCCAGAGCTGTAGTGCATTGTAGTTGCATTGCATGTTTGTCTCACTGGATTGCAATGTACCTGCAGTGCAACACAGAGCTGGGCCACTAACAGCTGAACACACACAGGAGGAGGTGGGCTTTGCAGCAGCTGCACAATTCCCGGTTTCTACTGCAATTTCTGTGAAGATTGCTAAGAATATTCTTTAGCTTATCTCTGTTAGTTACGTGTATCTTTCTATTTTTCTTGATTTTTAGGTTGCAAGCATTTCAAATCGAGTACTTTTTACCCTCTGAACCAGACCCAGATCTGACAGCTTGTGTTAATCTTGTTTGCTTTTCTATAGGTCGTGGAGTTGCTGCTGTGCGATCTCCTATTGGTTATGAGGACCAACGTGTGGCGCGTACAGCAGCAAGGGAGTGCTGGGACCGGGCTGGTGGGCCCCAGCAGCCCCGTGGGCCCCCACCAGGCCTCCCCACCGGAGCTTCAGGGCTTTCAGCAGGATCTCAGCTCCCTGCGCAAGCTGGCACAAAGCTTCCGACCCGCAATGCGAAGAGTACGTGAGACAGTATCTGCCACTGTGATCTCTCCCGTTGCATTTTAGTTCCCGTCGAGGCGTAATCCCAGTGGGCGCCCGCTTTCCGCGCGCACATTTTAAGATCAAACGCGGCTCAGTCGTTACCAGAAATGGGTTTGTTGGCTGCAGCACACACATTCTCACAGAGGTGTATAGCAGGGCTGTTCACACAGCCTCAAAGTGTAGAGCCGATCATTATCTGTGAGGCATCGTCATCATTTTTCCAGTTCGATTCAGTTCATTTTTGTTCCTACAGTCAATAAAAAGGACATAAACAGGCAGCTGAGTGCACAGAGAAGGGCCTCAGAACCGAAGGCTTTTCCTATTCTATTTGTAGAACAGCAACTAGACCTGGAGTCTGAGAGCAAGGTGCTGTTCATAAATAAATACTGCTAGGTGAAATTTAGAGGGTATCACTTATTTAGAGCTTTATATGTGAGGAGCAGCCTTTAAAACTCCGTTCTGGATTTAACACAGAGCCGGTGAAGACAAGTTCAAACTGAAGAAATATGCCCCCTGCTAGTTTTCTGTTAGCCGGCAGCTTTTTGGATCAGCAAGAGCCTTTTCAGTTTTTTGGGGGCAGACCAGTTATAAAGAATTAAAGTATTCCGATGCTAACAGGAACGCGTCCGTTGTTTTCTGCATCTCTCTGAGGAAAGGCTGTGCTTCATCTTTTGTCTACCATCTCTTTTCTAGTTGTTCCTTCATGAAGCTACAGCCAGACTCATGGCTGGGGCCAGTCCCACCAGAACTCATCAGCTTCTGGATCGCTCGCTGCGGCGCCGGGCGACACCCGGAGCCAAGACAGGTGTGTGTGGACACCATTCTGTTAATTCCACGTTTGTTCCAATCTGCACAAGTCATTCAAAGGCTTTGGCAACGGTGGCCGTATCCAAAGTCCCCCCCCTCCTGGCTCGAATCCATCTTGCAGAGGAAAAGGGCTCCTTTTTATCCCGGGGATTAAGATGTGGTTATATAAATGTAGGGGTATGGCCATGGAGAGGGGTTTAGGTTGGCTATTATTTCTAGGCAAAATACTGTATTTCAAATCGTAGCTGTATAATGTAAAGAGTTGATATCTTAGAAAACTTGTTATTCTATAAGAGATATATGCGGCCATGGAAAAAGACATGAGACGTTTTTTGTTTTGATATTGTTCCCAGATATTTGTGCAAAAGAGGCAAACTAAAGAACTTTCGGCCACCTGACTACGTGTCTATGTTCCGCTTTTTGTTCCTCTATTCAACCATTAAACGGAAAGCCTCCTAAGGCTGATTGCTGTTGCCACGGTAACAAATGTCTCTTTTTTTTTTTTTTCCCCCTTCTTTTTCTTTTTTGTGCAGAGGAGTGTGAGACGCGTCCTGGGCAGAGGGAGCAGGCAGAAGCTGTGATGCTGGCATGCCGTTACCTCCCGCCCTCCTTCCTGTCGGCTCCGGGCCAGAGGGTGGGCATGCTGGCCGACGCCGCCCGCACCCTGGAGAAGCTGGGGGACAAGAGGACCCTCCACGACTGCCAGCAGATGATCATAAAGCTGGGCAGCGGCACCACCGTCACCAACAGCTAGACCCGAGGAAAAAGGGGGGGAGGGGCCGAGAGACTTGCATGGACGCTGTATATAGAAACACGTCTGCCACACAAAGCGCCCACAAACCCAGAGAGAAAACAATGAATTCTTCCACCTGCACAGAATCATACGGTCTCTTAATTTAACTGTAAAGATTCGATAAAACTGGATGTCGCTCATGGTTCGTCCCACCTACCACCCGCATCAAAAGGCACTTGGATTTTATTAGGAAATAGGAAGAATTTAGCTCTTGCTGAGCCGAAACCCCCCCAACCCGCCTCTCCCCACCACAGGAAAGAGCCCCCCCCCCCCCCCCCCCCCAGCATGCTAAGGTGGATGGTGCGAGGGTTAAGCACGAAAGAGTTGTTCGCTCAGCATTTACGAAGCGTAGCTCCACCCCCACGCAGTCTGTTTGGTTTGTGTGGGAGTGGTGGGCCATGCTGAATGAGGAAAAAAAACAAAAAACAACAAACTATTTGGTCCAACTGTGGGGGCGAACAGTGGGAGGCCACTCCACGTCCTGCTCAGACACTTTTGAAGTTTCTTTGAATCGTGCTTCCTTGGTGGTGTGTCTGTAAGATGCCCCCCCCCCCCCCCCCCCCCCCCCCCTCCGCCCCAGGCCTGCGATCACATGGCTTTTTTTTTTTTTTTGTTTTTTTTTCAAAGATCTCATATATTTGTTTTTCTATGTACATATTTTAGAATGTATTTATAATCTATAAGATCTTTGATTAAGGAGTATTCGCAGAATCAGTGAAAGAAGCTTGTTTTCTGACTTTAATTCTGTCGAGCGCGGTAGCCGACCCGGCGGCGTCTAAACTGTATCAGGTCATAAAGATAATGTTGTGTGACTCATTTGGCCTTTTGAGCTGATGGACACGTATGCTGCAAATCACAACGGAAACGATGACATGGGCCTTTTGCTCTTCACTAGACCTGTGCAAAATGATTTATTCTTCTACAGTTTTTGTCCCCAACATAAAATGCAAGAGGCACTCGGTCATTACATTTTTTATCTTTTTTTTTCCAGGAATTGTACAAAAAAAATGCACGGCACTCAAGACTATTTCTATTTTCTTTTTCTTTTCTTTTTTTACTAGTATGTCACTAATGTAAAATCTGACAAACATGGGATGGCGATGATTGTAAATCAGCCATGTCTGATGATATCAGTCATGTTTCCTGTAACTGACATCCATTTATCTCTACTTTGTTGGTTTCCATCCTTTCATGTAAATATTAAATCCTTTTGTAAAGAAGGAAGTGTGGTCATTAATTCTGGTCATTAATTTGAAGAATATAAGCAGTAACCTACACGGTATGCAAGTCGAGCATATAAAACTAGCTTAGAGTTGCCAGATGTCCAGCAGATTTGACATGAGAAAACGTCAATATTCCTGATAGAAGGCCATAAATATTATATAGCTTCTGTTCTGAGAGCAAATGGGAGTTTTTTGAAAATCTGTTGGGAACAAATTCAGTGTTTTTCACGCTTTTCTAAAGACTCTTTCTAACCCCCGTCGTGTGTCCGGTGTGTTGATGTCGGTGCGTGTTCAGTGAAGACAAAAAGAGCAGGCGTTGGTCATAGCAGCATTGAAAGGTGCTGGTATATTTAACATTGGCGTTACAAAAAACATTTCAAACAAAGTGATGCTGTGTCATCAAGTCCAAACAAATAGACATGAAAATCAATATAACGGCATGCTCCCACTTAAGACAAGTGACATTCCCAAAAAGTTTTTTTTTTCTTCAATGGATTCTTTTAATAACATTTTATAAGCAATAACATATTCCATTTTATAGAAAATAAACATCTCTAAGAAATACTATACACAATTATATTAGTACATCACATCTTACATTTAAACAGCATCAAATACTTATGTACACCATTAAATAATGAGCTTCATAAAAGAATGTTTGGTGTGGTGTTTTTGCACTTTCTTTTCTGTTTTAATACTTAAATATGTCTCTTTTTGATATGACCAGAACTGTAACTGATGCCCTGCACAGTGCGCTGTTATATAGCATGGCAGGCTGAGAAGAGGCTACATTTTAAATACACAAACAGACAGGTATGTTCTGAAATCAGAATCGAAAGCACGTCTTTCTGCATGGCTGTGATATGTGAAATAATCACGGAAATGTTGAACGATAAATACATCCAAACTGTACATAGTTATGAAGTGAAATGATCCGACTCCCCCGTTGGATCTCCGGAGCCCTGGTCGTCGTCCCCTCAAGTCACGATGGTGGTGGCATCTACTGTAGGTATATTGAATGTGCACACAATTGAAATAACACAAAGCCTGACAAATACCAATGGTGACGCGATGATGTTGTTTAGTCATAATGCACATCAAAATACATCTCCGAAGAAAAGAGCGTTATAGTAAAATACTGCGTCTGTTTTTTTTTTCTTTACTCTTGGATACCGGAATATTTAGAGCCTGTAAAGCACATCATCATGTACAGTTTCCTTAATTGTTTAATTTTGTCTCATGTTTTAAACACAAACGCACACATTGAGATAATACATCCAGGTTTGGGTGCTGTATTTTTTTTTCTCTTTTTTCTTTTTTCTTCTCTTGGATGGTGTGTTGAATTGGAGATGCACTTCTTCACACTCAGACACATGTACACAAACGCACGGTGGTGATGTGGTTGTAAGATGACGCACGCACGGAAACTCAATCACAAACACGTGCACCCGCTGGCCTACAGACGAGGCGGCCAGAGGGACGTTCCTGCCCAATCAGTGTCCGCCGGCTGTCCGAGGATGATAGCAACCCATCCAGAGGCAGAGACACACACACACTCATAGTCATACACACACACACACATACACGCACACCTTCCTTGCTCTGCATTTCAAACAGTCCCTGTTTGCTCTGAACTCCAGACAAAGCCGCGTGTTCCTGTTTAACAGCGCCGCTGCCTTCTGGTTCGCTGTGAGGGACTTCACCGACAAAATTTGTTTCATGTCCGGGCTCGGGGAGCAGCTGTTTTCTGCAGAGCAGTTCTCCAGAGTTTGTTCTGTTCCCTGTTCTACCCCAGTGAGCCGCTGGCCGGCAAATCTGTCCATCATCAGCAATCTCTGTGTTTTCAGTGGATGTCAGGACAGCATTCTGTTCGGTTGGACAGGTGGCAGGATGGTGGTGATGGTGAGAGTGGAATACGCGGTTATCTTACAGGTCCTGCGGAGGAAAGGAAAAGGAAATGAATGCAAGTCACAAACAAACATTATTTCAAAAAGTGTGTGTAACTGCTAGGCTTTTCCCCTAAAACACTGCAGAAAACAAAAATTCCCAACTTCAAAATTGATGAGGCTTTGTGTTGTGTTCGTAATTCCTCTCAGCCCAGAAAAGCTGCAGGCAGGTGAAATGCAGGTGGTGAGTGCTCGCTGTACACTGTCCACTTTGAGCTGAGTGTGAGACTGAGAGTGTTTTTGTGCAGATCTGTAGGGAAAACATAAAAGCGAGCGAGCTGTAGGAGTGGGGAGATGGATGCGGCTGACCAGCGAAACAGCCCCTCAGTGAAAGGAGGAGCCAGAACACCGTTTAATTGCACAGGTGGTGGAACATTTACTTTCTGCTTACGCTCCTCAACCGCCACTCTAGAAAAACTCTGTTTGTGTTTTTGGGGTATTTCTCTGAACTGCCAGCTGCCCATCCTCACGTCTTGGATGCGGCCCAACGGCTTTAGTCTCCGTCGTTTATTTCTCCTTTATTTTCTTTCGGTCTTTCTCCACTTTGGTGCTTTTCTTCTTTAAAGAGCGTGCCCTGTCTCTTTCTGTTAACTTCCCTGGAGTAGCTCATTCTTTAACAACTTCAGTCTTCACCTTTTTCTCTCCACCTCACCATCACAGGGTGTCTCCCCCCTCAGCTGCTCATCTCTCCCGCTGCCCTTCTTTTCTCTTTCCAGTATTTTCTATTTCAGTCTGCTGCTCTCTGATGTAACTGCCCTCATTCAGCTTTTGTTCTGACTCAGCCGCAGCAAAACGAAAAAGGAAGGGGGAAAAAAAAAAGAATATTTTGGTGCCTGCCTTTCCTTGCACTCAGTTACACGTTCCCTGTCTGCTGATGGCCCTCTATCATGTTGCCTTGTGTTTTCGCCTCAGGTGAACCTACCAGACCTGATTAGAAAGAACCAATTAAGACATCAGAGGATTCGTCGCTCATCTTTTTTTCTCATTCCCAGCTCCTCTTCCAACAATTTGTTGGTGATTCACAGTTTCATTTTCTGTTTTTTATACGTTTTTTATAAGAACTTTTTAGATTGAATCTGTTTTTGCAGCCTTCGTTCTGTTTGTATGGCCTTTCACGTCTTTCTGCCAGGGGTTGCCACAGTGCATCCGCCCTGAGCGCCAATTCAGGAGTGAATGAAGAAAAAAACGTTTGGTCTGCCAGAGACATTAACTAGTGATTTGATTAGCAGAACAAGACATACATTGAGAGTTTCAAGATGTTGACCACTTTCTTTAAATAAGAATGGACATTTACATATTTTGTCCTGTCTCAATTATAACGCTGGTACTGATTGGCTTAGTAGAAATGAAAAAAAAGATCACTTATTTGCAAAATACCCAATACTACAGAAAGGTTAAATTATCCAGAGTGTTTTTTTTGGGGGGGGGGGTTACATCACTCAGATGAACTATTAACTACCCGTGCCTTAGGGGGCCATGATACAATTTGATGCTTTATCTGAAATATGTGTGTGGGCTTAAAGGTCACCTCCTCATGACCACATCCATGTCATACTAGCATGCCTTAGCACGAGGAAATCCACAGCTGAGGATAGTTTGGCACATTTTTCCAACCCTGAAGCACACACATAGGAGGGAGAATATCCGAGAGGGACCTATGAGTGTGTGCATAGATGTGTGTGTCTCCTCTTCCCTTTGATTAGGCTGCTCAATTTAAATTGGCTCAGCACAAACTCACACACACACACACACACACACACACACACACACACACACACACAC